TCGTGACTGATCGGCGGAGCCGGTCGACTCCTCGCGTGTACGCAGCGGAACCGTCTATAGAAATTTTCCGGATCGCGTACACCCTTCTGCCTTGCTCGAGGAATCCTCGTAGCTTCCGATAGTCGAGCTGAAAGTGTCGTCATCGGTAAGCCCTCTGTTACCGTATTGACAGTTCGGGAATGTGATCCACGTTGTCTCCCACTTATCTGCCGCTTCTGTCATAACAGCGTGAATATAGGTATATGTGGAAGCTACGGGGGCCACCTGCTCTACCGACTCGCGTGTAGCGGGCTATTCACCTGAGTCCCGTCAGATATTACGGCTCGACTGCTCCGCTCGAGGGGCTGATTCGCTCGAGGCGTCGTCTGGCGTGCACCGTTGTCAGCACGTTCTATCTGCTGATTCGTCTGTCAAACTCAATCACTTCCCGTTCTTCTCTACGCTAATAACGGCCAAGTTGTGCGCGTTCTCCCTGGAGAGTTCTTGGATCCATTAAATCGAGGGCATCCCGCTCTCAGCTTGAAAGATGTTGTCCTCCAATTCCGCCACGTGGCTCGGCCAGGTCATGGTACTGAATTTCGTGCCTAATCCCGTCTCTTCACCGTGTCGCGCCACATGCTCTCATCATGAGCCATATGGCCAAATAAAGCTCTCCCGGGAAGATATATGTACGTCGGCCGTGACTTTCGATCGTGGATCGAGGCAAATTATTGAGAGCTCTGACCGAAGTTTCTAGTCCCGGTACAAAAGGAATCACTGATCCCGAGATTGCTGGCTCAAGCTGTCGTTTGACGCCCCCAGGGAAGAAGCGAACATGAGCCTGGGTCTCCGAAGGTCCGACTGAAGATTCACGTATGATTATGAAAGAAGCCTATACGACAACGCCCGGATCTGCGAAGCCGAGATGTTCAAGTTCGACTTCCGAAAGATACGGAGGCTTCGACTGGAGGAATTCTTCGACCTTCCTCTTCGCTGCCTTCGAGGTCAGAGTAGCATCTCATGGGAGGAGAATGAATCATCATTTCATCATGCATGAATCTAGTGGATCAAATGAGATTCCGAAACGAACGGCACCACGTTCGACATTGGAGAGGCAGCCGCTGTGCGCAAGGCGAGGAGGGGGAAGGTGAGCGAACGATCCTAGAAAGGGAAATAGTAACGGCTCACTTGCAATTAAGGCCCCCGCATGGCCTCGAACGAAACAACGTGCGACAGCGGCGATGGGGAACAAACTGTCATTCTTCTTTATTTTTGCTGCGTTAGGAAGCCTCGCTCCTGGCGGCTCGTTCGTCGATCGCTCCTCGCGCATTGAATGCGCGACGCAATTGCGAAAAGTGTCAATTTGCTCTCGGGATACACAAGAGTTCGATGGTGATCCTGCTCGGCCGCGACGCGAATTTCAATGAAGCGCCGTCTGCACGAGATTCTCGACACTCAGACTCCGTCTCCAACACTTCTGCTCGGAGGTATCCTTCTGTGGAGTCTACCCCAACAGAAGTCGATGGGAACGACATTTTACGCGTTCATACGCGCTCGTTCGCTCGAGGCAGGACCACGGGAACTTCTCGTCGTTCGGGGATATTCCTTCCATCCAAGGAATCACGAGAAGATTGAGGGCGATAGAGCAACCTAGGAAACTCAGAAGAGGAAAGATTGCCGCCAGAGAAACTCAGGTTACTCTCATCAATGTTCCCGATACGATCTCGGGGAAGAGTTTCCCTATGCCAGCATCTCCGTTCGTTCCACGGAATCTCGATAATCGTTCGGAGGCGGCCGCGGGCTTTTCTTTCCGAGACAATCCGAGCTCCGATCGTTGAGGAGCGTTCTCAGGGAGCCCGATCTTGACCGAAGCGGAATATCCTCGCTTCGGTTCCCGGAGCGCCTCCGCTCGCTGCATCGACCACCTGATTGCGGGTTGTGGTCTTCGTCTTTTCGACGCGAACCAAGACACAGCTCTATTTGGAGCGAGCATTGTACTCGATAATAATCGATTTGTCTGGAATCGATATCTCGCGTCTGATATTTTCGAGTCCGCGGTGATTTTTCTTTTGGTACAGGTGTTCAGGACAGCTCAAGCTCGACGGGATTCCAGGAAGCTCATGCTTCGATTATCAGCAGCTCTCGACAATCGCTATAGAGCCCGTTAAAATTCGAAACGACGGGAAAGGAGCTTCTGCTACGTCAAGAACAATAAGAAGTCGATATACGATTGTCCTTAATTGAGGAACTCCGTGCAAGGAGACTCATTGCCGAATTTTCCCCGGGACGGGGAATTTTTTTCTGCAGAAACCTTTCCTAGGGGAGTCAAGGCTCAACCGCTTCGTTTGAAGCCCCCAGCAAGGGTGCTAGTGAAACCCCCGTTGATAGGAACCCATTTCCGGTCAATGGGACCATATTCCGTACAATGTCGTTTCGGACCCCAGGCGAAAGGTCCGATGAACCAGAGCCATTTCGGGTTAGAAAACTATTGCACCCTCCGAAACTACAGGGAGAGACGATTCGCAAAATTCTGCACGTTGAAGATGGTTCAGAACCAGGATATCCTGAGAAATTTCGACTGTCACCCCCGAAGAGTGGGAGTGCCAAGAAAGACCGCTCTCGCCTGAAGCATCAGCGTTCTGGGAGCGGGCTCGAGAAGCTCACCGGGGACATCTGTCATACGGCGTCGACAGTACCCTATAATGAGATTCGCGTTTCCTTCTTTTTCCCGTTTCGTCTTTTGTGAGACGATGGCGATATATCAACATATTTGTATTGCGACGCGTCTGCAACGCGTCGATCCAATATGTCTGTTCGATATTGTTGCTCGCTGCGCACAGTTCCCCTCTACGGAATTTCCAGTCCTGACGGAGCGGCCGCGCTCACGGATCAGACGACAGGCACTTACTTTCCCGTGGAGAAGCCAATCCAGTCGACTTTCCCCAAGGGCGTTCGGAGAATTTTGGAGGCGATTTCATTCGATATATCAAACGATCCGAAAGCGATCGAGTGACGACGGAAGCAGGCTGGATATCCGAGGAAACATTTTGAATTCCTCCATCGCCTGAAGAGCTGCTGATCCCGTGGGAATCAATCCACACAGCGTGGTTGTATTTTTCAGGATTCGGGAAGTTCCTCGTACTCCCTGCTCGACAACGTGCTCTCAGAACTCTCGATCTCATCCGATCTCCGACCCAGATCCACGTCCTCCGTGCAATGCGATCTTCATCTGCGGGCGATTTCGGTACGGTCCCAGCGTCAGGCCGATTGGAAAAAGCGGAAAGACTACTTGTCCGGTTGTGTTTCAAGATAGCTCAATGCTCCGCATGATTTGTTCCGGCGGACCCCTTCTGAGACTCCACGGGGAAGGGGAATTAGCAAGGATCCCGCAGTTCATTCCGGCAGCCTCTAGAGATTCGGAAGATTGGTTCGGAGATTTGGATACGCCTTGATGCATGTTTCACCATACAATCTCCGACTCTGCGCCAACGTCGCGGATCGATTCGATCAATTGCTCGATCATCTTCATACGAGCATTGTCCGAGCAGCGGATGGCCGCCACAAGCTTAATCTTTCCTCACGGAAACTTTGGGCGTATCTTACCTAGCGCAGCGGTATTTGACAGGACGTGTTCTCCCTGAGAGTCGAGTTTCCACTGATTCACTGTATCCCGGAGAGATTCGGATACTTTCCCGCATCAATCTCGCATGGAATCTCGGGAAGCCGCTCCCACGTGGCCTCAGCTGCCTTCGACAAGATATCTGCCCGATATCTTGTCCATGAGGGGAGTAATCAATTCTAATGAGGATGTGGGAGCCCGGAGCCCACCGAGCTGTCGAAACCATTATCGGCAAGACGTCGCTCGATTCAAACTTCCCTCCTCGAGCCTACAGCAGCCCTCTCGGAACTGGAGGGAGCTGACGTTTTACATGCGGGCAGTCTGCGGAATTTTAGGGCTCATCATCTGGGCCGCATGTTCGTCCTATTATACGATTTGCTGTGCCCGGAGCCGAGACTCTCGATGTCCGCGCTGCGTTGCTCTGGACCAAGAGGTGATTCCGTTGCACTGCTCACCGGGGCTTCCGGAGCGTAAATGCGTGGAGCGAATGCCTCCACGCAGTATCGGAATTCTATGACCCAAGCCTTCGATTTGGTCCGTAGATGGATTGATGATCGAATGTCTACGTTCCAAGCTGCCACTTGAGGTCATTGCTTATGGTTTATCGTTCCCCGAGGACAAACGGCAGAGCAGCACCAGGCTGACGGACGGGAATTCCACTCATACATCGAGTCGTCCTCCCGCGGAGTGCTTTGAAGTCCCAAGTTTATTTCGGACAATCTCTGAGATATTTGAAGTGCTCCCGGAATTCAATGGAATTCCAGGGATTGTATGGAACACTCTCAGAGAATTCAGGACACGATCACACTTCGCAACGGGAGTAGAGGTTCACCAAGGACGACTATTCCACTGAAAAAGTGATAAGTTGCCAGGCTCCGCCTCGGTAGACTCACATCGATAGTGATTTATGATGATAATGATGATACGAATAATGATATTATTTTATAATAATGAAGGTACACACCATTCAAGCGAAGCCTTGCTTTCTTTGGAGCGTTGGAATACCTTCGACTCGACAAGGACCTATAATGGAGATTCCAGCCCGGAGAGTATGATATACGCTCCGGAGAGACTCTCAAAGGTCCGGCTTTCTAATTTTGTTGAACTCCAGTATCCAGGGAGTGTGTCAAGACACGAAAGACCGCGCGCGCACTTTCTACAGAGCACAATCGTTGCTCTCCGCCAGAAGTCAGGGGCGCAGCATCGCGAGTGGAATGGGGGAGCTCCCCGGTGGACATCATTCTATTCTCGAAATTTTTGCCGGACCCGAATGCTTCATCTCGATGCTTGCCGAACGGTACTCTATCTTCCTGGCTCGAGCTCATCGGAATCGGCCGTGATAACTCCGTCGTCAACTCGAGATGGGCGGAATGCCGGAGTTCCGAAAGGACTCCGGAGCCGAATGGGGCAACCAGGCGGCCTCATCAACCGCAGCGTTCTGGGAGGACGGTGAGAAGAGTTCGAGGAAAAGATGGGACTCGAGAGCAAAACTATCAAATGTCCGCGGCGTGAGTAAAGACCAGATGGACCAAGCCAACCGAGCGGATTCAGCGGGCGACCGACTCCTTTCGCGCTGGTGGTCGTTCTCGCCGTCATCATCAGCGTGGGCTGGACTGCTGAGTATCACATTTGGACACGCTTCGATTCTCCCGATGGTTGGCCAATTTCTCGGCTCGATCGAACTCCCGGGAGTAAAGGAAGAAATATAACGAGTGGTAAATACGGTAGGGCCAGGGTATGAGGAGGCTTTCGGAGCGGTTCGCTTACTTCGCAGGAGTTCTGGCAGGTCAGATGAATGCCCCGAGTCCACAATCGGGCAGGGGGAAGTGCGCATAGGGATCGATTCTCCCGCAGGAACCCGCTATTCGTGCACGGATAATTCCAGATGAAAGCTCGGAAGTCTTTGAAGAGAAACAGAGTCAATCGATTGTGCATGAGAAACCTAGCACAGGAATTATTGAGGAGGAGTGGAACTTACTTAGAGCACCACGACCCCTAAGGGGCCGTGAGAGCGCTCGGGGAGCTGTCTGGGAAGAACGCCGCTCAACTTCCGGAAAGAAAAACGTTCAGTTAGTCGACCGGCCATGTACTCGTCTTGCCGACCGCTTTTCGCAAAAGTTTCTTCCTCGCTCGGCAAGAGAGTGCGAGACGTCTGTTTTTCAAAGTGACGGACGGTGCCGCTGCGGGATCAGCTCATTCTAATACTCCGAAACTGGAACTCGGAGAATAATCATCTGGAAAGTTTCCATTCGTCTCTCACATCCGTCCAGCCTACTTCGGCCTCGTTCTCCTCCCCGCAGCCATTTGGGATCGTCCTCTCGCCGGTATCCCGGAGTTAAAATTAGGTTCCGGGAATCGGAGTTCGAATATGCTATGTGTTGAGAAGCTCCACTGGCGTCGATGCATCGAGTTTGTGCCATAATCCGTATAGTCGAGAAATCGTCGCACGGTTTTGAAAGCTATCTGCAAGCCTCACCAAACTTTCCCGTCAACTCTCGAGGGATCCTGGTCCTTATCTGAGGATTGTTTTCTTTGTTGTTGCAGGCGGCTCCAGGCGATCAGAATAGCCTCGTCCAAGGTCGTGGTGAGCTGCGATTCGCCTTCGAAGGCTAATGTGAAATCGTGCAACGTGAGATTCTTGCTTGAAGAGGAACACGATCAACGGAAACAACAGAAGAAAATGTCGTCGCCAACCTCGAAAAAGCAAAAAATCAAGGAGCTGAAACAAGTCGTCCCGCTTCAAGTTCCAAAGGATACGGCAGAGCCCCCGGCTCAGGAAGTTTTCGAAAACGGCGTTCGTCTTCTGAGGAGAGTTTCGAACGACGAAAAGGTGAGGCGAGGTCCATGTGTGTTCGGGACGGTCTTCAATGGACATCTCATCGTCTATCGGGTTCTGAGATTTTTTGAGTCGGAACCAAGGTTCCCGATTTTTTTCCTGCGGAACGAGGCGCCCCGATATCACCCGAAAGCAGTCGATGCATTTGATCGATGAATCGAGCGGGCGAAAAAGTGCACCATCGCACTCGGCCCAGCGGTCATCGTATCCGCGAAGCTGAACGCGGGAATCGGAGAACTATTCCCTGTTGCAACTGTCATGAAGGCTACCAGCGCCGAGCAATTGATTCGGGCAGAGGTGCTCTTCCAGGCGGCACATGTTGCCTCCGGTTATCGATCGTTGATACGAACTCGAAGGAGGAGGTTCCTGCTTGAAATTGTCATCGATGCGTATTTTCCTCCTTTCGTTCTCCGACAGGATCGCCAAGATTTTCATCCGATGGGGAGCATTAGAATCGACTTTCGGGATGTATGACGCGGAAATAGAGGAAGTCAGGAACGAAGGGGGGCGTTAAAGTGGAAAATCGACGCAGTAGAGATTCGTTGTCTCGGAAGCTCACGGGGAAACGGAAATGAATGGGAGGAAACAGGAGAAGACGTCGTATCGAAGTTCCGAGCTCACTAGTCCTTCCAGCGAACGGAATTCGGACAAGGAAAATTGTTGACACAGCTTCGAATGTTCAAGCCTTTTTCTTGTGAATTTTCGAGGATGTGACGGACGATCTTCTCCTCCGAGAGTGCCCGGGAAAAGCTCCCCAGTCAGCATCTCCCGAATCGGGGAGGCTGAGATACCATCGCGGGAAGAATGGGCCGATTACCTGCGCCTGAAGTCTGACTTCGTACGTCAAAGTGGCCCCCAACTCCCGAGTGGTGAAGCTCTAAATAAATCCAGAGCATTCTCTTCGGACGAAAGAGCTGCTGCTAACTCGGCGTCTATTTGTTGAATTGCAGGCGACGGTCTACCTCCACAAGATGGAATACCAAGACTTGGGTTGTGACACGGATCCCGTAGGTGTGTACTGGAAACTCTTTACAACGTTTTTAGCTTCCGACCCTACTTCCGCGTCGTTTTTACGAATTCCCGAAAAGACAGCTTCGGCTTTTTCCACGACGACTACGCGTGCGGTAGCGAGCGGGCAGGTGGTTGGTCAGACCGACACGAACGAGTCGTCTGCCTACGACAGCGCACGCTGAGGGACAGGGCGCGGTCAGGAAGCCGGTAGCTCCTCCGCCCGTGTGCAAATGGTGATAGCCTCTTTTTTCTCCGTCAAGCCGGAGCTTTCCAGTTGTCTCGTGATGAAAGGTAACGCTCGCGGGATTGTGGTCGCATGTTTTCCTTATCCATGTTCACTCCGGATTCCCGGGCCTGCTGCTTTTCTCGAGCTTTCTCCTCGCGTGCAACCTATTTGCCTGGCTCTGACTCCGGCAACGATGGGAAGCAATGCTGCGTAGCGGAGCCTCCATAAAATCACCGGCTCCCCTTGAAGACAACCGCGATACGTCCGAGCCAGGGCAGTGAATTCCGACACCCTGCTTGTCCCCACTATGTCCAAAACATGGAAATATAGGGTCGATGACAACTTATGGCGGTCTTGGTCAGCCTTAGAACGTGTCGTGTCAAACCCTTCGGCTGACAAAGGCCTCTCGATAGTCTGTCGATATAGCGAAGCTCCGCGGTTGAGGATCGCAAGCATGAGAGTCGGCAGTAAGCTTGAACGAGATTCGGGAGAAGACACTTCCGGGTGGAAAAATGAAGATTCCGAGATGGGAAGAGCTCACAAACGTAACCTCATAGAGACCTTCGACGACAGTGAATCTGTTTCGAATCGGAGCTCTGCTATTCGGGAACACAGCGGACGATTGGAAATGGAGAATATCACACTGCCAACGTGTCCGCCTAGCGACAATGGTCCGAGCAGGGAAGCAGAAGGTGTTCAAACACGAAAGCGAGAAACGTAGAGTTGATGTAAGCGCGGGCGCTGCTCCAGACGGTGTACTGCTTGCGGGAGAAAGGACATGAGCCCGAGGCGAACCGAGCGGAACGCTACAGCTTGCAACTGGCCTGAAGATGGAGATTTCAGCCGACGGCTCGGTGACCTTTTCGACGGCACTGTGCGGTTAGACGCGATCGATGCCTCAGGCTTCACTGTTTAGCCGCTTGTCGTTCCTTGCGACGGGACTTTTCTCCGTTTATAGTAGCGATCGTTGGCGAAAATTTATTCTATACGGGATCTGTGAGCTCTGCGGGACCTGTTATCAGGCAGCGAAACTACGTTGGAGCAAATTATGTGACTTTCGAACCTCAGGGTTCGCAAGAAGGTATTAGGTTGAGGAAACTCCTCGGGAATTCGCGCCCGCGGCCTTCATAGTACAGAGAATCGCAGCTCGTGAGTGATTCCACGAGGGTTCGCGGTTATTCGAAACAAGGTTCTCCCCTCGAATGGGTGGGGGGACCGACGTCTGAGCAACTCAAAACCCTGATCCCCCATCTGGCTCAATAATTTCCTATTCAGACACAGCTCTGACCCGGAGTTTCTTTCACAGAGGGCTTCGTCGAGTGCGACGTATCGAAATTGACCGAAGGCGAGAGCTTATACGTTGCTTTACTCGGACGCTTCCGATACGGCCGCGAAGAAGATGAAGTTCTCGGAATGTCCCTCTGCAGGTGGGAGGAATTTCCGCTTCATTGAGACGTTTAACTCGCATTTCTTCCAGCTTTAGCTTATTCTCCGGACATATCTTCGGCTCCACCAAGACTCGTGTGTTTCCCTTCACAGAGAGATGTACATGGGACACAAACTAGTTTATTCGAAAGGAAAACCTCTACCACCGAGTGAAGACCAGCCAGGACCCTCGACAAGTGAGTTTATGTAGATATTCCTCCCTTGCGATCGAAGACCGACTCAGCGAATGCCATTCTTTCCAGCAGATGCTCGTGCATGCTTATCGCGGGATTCGATCAAATCCATTTGGCGAATTGAGTTTCACGATGAAATCGATATAGGAGCTGCCCGATGTGGTTGCCGTAATGTCAGAACCGGATCCGGTCTTTACGCTTGACGCCTCTGCTGGCACCTACCCATGCTGATCGACCTTATGGTCGAGCGTTGCCGCTTGCCGCGCATGAGCGACTGTGTGTTCCATTCCTTATCGCCTAATAAGGAACTCGTCCCCGATTCACCGCAGTAGGCTTCTGCGTTAGTGATTCACTGGGGTCCAGGTCGATAGCCATTCCACCGAATGGTTACCGTGAGCTAGCTGTTCCATCGAACAGTTGCCATAAGCCTCCTTCGGTACGTGGTCGGCTTAAGCGATTTCCCAGGCGGCTGCTTTGCATCCTGCCATTGATAAGTCCATGTACGTTCAGCTCTACAGTCGTTGTACGAGCGAGGTCCATCGCACGTCACGACTCGGTACAGGAAGCGATGCGACACTAGCTGAAGAGCAGAAAAACGAGCGGGCTACTCTCGAAGCTCTCGAGGAATTATCCTCACGCGTCCTCAGCAGTTCTCGGACTCAGGGAAATTCCCGTTTTAGATCCCGAATCTCCCGGGAAGTGTATTCTTTCCGCCCAACGGCTTGTGTCTTTTGGAACGATCCACCCGAGCCGCCGCGGAAATCCGATTGGATAGATGCCAAAAAGTTGCGGCAGAGAAATTATTATCGTCTGATAGCGTTATCAGCACGGAGTCGAGAAATCTAAGGTGTTTCCCAAGATTCTCGGCAGCCACACAGAAATTCCGCTCTACGTTCCTTTGATGGTGAGCCATTGGAAGAATATTATCCAGTCGTCCCTGTGAAGTCCGTGTGCCAATCTTTCCTCCAGTGTTGATCAAGACCGGCGTTCGATCTGATTTCCGGTCGACGGAAGCCTCACGTCCTTGTCGTCAACGTCGTCGCGAATGTCAAGTCACAAATGGGAGGTTCTGCACAAGAGTCTCGAATACCCCTGCTAATGAATCGGTCAACAGGCAGTTGGGGGCCGTCAGACTCGGTGATCGGGTTCGATCCCCTCTCAGGAAGTCTTGTTCCCTTCAAGTCCGTTGCCACCACTCACGATAAGTGAACTCTGTAGCCGCTTGCGGATCGAATCACAGATCACCGGACACAATTATCGCTCGCGGGAAGATTGGAGAAGCTCGCCCATTCTCTCGTACGGACCTGCCGGCGGCCCATGCCCCTTCGAGCACTGTCATCCGAAGGTCCTGTCTTCACCTACTCCTCGTCCGTCGGAGACTATCTCTCCACTCGGATATCAAGATATCTCGAATATTAGCTCTCCGCCCCAACTCCATGCTCCTTCTCCCGGAAAAATCGATGCTCTCAATTTGTGTAGCTAATTATAGGTTCGGAGAGTCGACTCGTGGAAATCAAGCGGGAAGGAACAGTCTGAGCTTCTCGAGTCTACGATTCGATCCCGCCGCATACATACGCTGCTCAGTCCGAGGAGTGAGGAGACCTCAAGGGAGGTGCGAAAGAATTTCTTATCTCGACCCGTATGCTTCACCAGGAGCGGCAGATTCCGCTACAAGCGTAGAGTAGCCACACGGTCTTCTGGAAACAGACGTGCAGGGGAACGATCGCTCTCGATTCTTCGCGCCCATTACATTCAGTTCGGTTCCCGCTCGAGTGAATCAGTCTCCGGAACGAAACATGCTCGGCTCGAGAAAGAGGCGCTCGGGACGAAAAGAAGAGAAGAAGTACAGATGAGATGTCAAGCGCTGGCTTTGGAGGACCGATAGTTCCCTTCAGCTCGGCGGAACAGAGTCTATCGCTTCGTGTATCTCGCGGGTTTCCCAACGATTCGGCCATCAATCATCAGGTCAGAAAACCGGAATCTATCCACTGGCCATTGGCAACAGAGGGAATATGTTGATGACTCTCTGTTTACCCGTCGACGACGCGCCGTCTCGGAGTTCCACGACCTTGAGCTGAACGAATGTGAGAACCCATTTGGACTTTCCGAGTGCTGATGGGGAAGTGCTTATACCGATTGGCATCTCCGGGATAAAGTTTCAAAGGCAAGGGGCTGACTATTCGCTGGCATCCGTGCGAGGCAGACGCCCGCTGACTGAGCTTGTCGGCTTTCCCTCCAGCGCCCTTATTCGTTTCCGGTGGATCAAAATACGGGAATCGTTCTCATGGATATGGAGCTCTTCGGATAGAGATAAAACTCCCGCGAAGGGAGAAGTGATTTCGGTCATGTCTCATCCGGGCAATCGTCCGCGTACAATCCGACACGCCGATTTGCGACACGCGAACACGCAATGGATGATATGCCGGCTGGATACGGCCCGATGAACTTTGGTGACGCTCTCGCTCGGCGGAACAACGACGATGGAAACGGAAAAGCCGTCGCTTGGCATCGTTCAATCTTCGTTGACACTCGCCATCGTCCAGCCCCTCCCCCACCATTCGACCCGTTCCGCAACTTTCATCCCGCCCGAGTCCCATATATGTAGAGGCCGCGTTTGTTTGCCAAGAGTGAACTTCCTATCAGAGGAGTTGAGCAAGTTTTTCCGCCTCGTTCCTTGTTTGGCTTGTCCTTGCCAGTCTTTCTCATGTCTCTTGTTTGCTCGTACTCCTCCTCGTGCGGGTTTGCGGCGGCAAGGAATCGCAAGAGGAATATCTCTCCGGGACAAGAAAGGAACGTTGCAGATAACACGCATCTCGAATGACGGAATACCCGCAGCCCCCGGAGCCTCCAACGGGAAAAAAATGCGGATTGTCCGCACTGAGCTGGGCGGAATGAGATGAACGAAAGAGAAATCGATGGACAATGAAAATTAAACGGACGGGGAACAGCTCGCGAAAATTCGAAGATCAGATTATCGATCCCATGCAGCCTCGGGAGCCGCCGCCGTGCATGACAGCGCGCCTTCGACACAATGATCCTACGCAGCCGAACGGGACCGTCCGCGTCCTTGGCCGATCAAGCTGCGAAGGCTTAGCTGTATAAAGAGGAATTTTCCAAGGCTCGATGCAGAAGCGGATTTCTATGCGGAAGCGGAGAGGAGGAACGGCGTGGATCTCCAATCAGGAGAATAGCGGGGCACGGGAGTAGAACAGATGCTTTCCCTCGATTTCTTGCACAGCTTCCTCGAGTCTCCAGGCAACCTGCTCGACTGCCCAGGGTCGCGTCCTAGGTAAAATGGATTTCCGCTCTGGATTGAGTTACATTGTCCGCTCTCCGACCATGTCCGATCCCCGATCTGACTGGCTCATTCGCATCACTGCGTTCCAGAGTCGACGTTGTCGACAGGGACATTTTTTTCGGCTCCTCCGTACCCTTTCTCCCTATACGGTCCCTTCGGAATCGCTTTGGTACTGAGCTGCAACGAGGATCGAAGAGCCGAATAATACGGTCGTACAATGGGAAATCATCGTAGCGGCTTAAGGACAGGCGAGCGAGTACACCCTTGCCCACGAGCCGAGTTGTATCCCCTCGGTCCAATCCACTTTTAGCTCATCTCCCAGGGGATCATGCAAGAGTTCTCGAGACTTTCAATCGCCGCTCTCGGAATTACAGACGCAACTTCGCCGTACGAGTCTGAATAAATGTTTCTCAAAGCATTGGCAGTCGAGCCACAAAGACAGTCACAGCGTTGTTGCAACCTCAAGAGCTCGACGCGTTGCAAGTTGCAGCCGCACGACAGGGAGTGCAGAACGCATCTCCTTCCGAGCTGCCTTCGAAGTGACGCGGGTCTGGAGACCTGGGCCGGATATCGCCGTGATCAGTCTCGAGACTGGTACTTGCCGTTCGTTCACTTACCGACCGTCTTCTACCGATGGAGCTCAATCGATTAACACAAGCAGGTTCGAAACTGGGGATTCTGAAGTTGTCGTCTGTTCTTACAGGTGGCGATGACAATCGCGCTCAGGAGGCATTGATCGCGAGAGTGTCATTTTCTTTCGAGCTCCCTGAAGACGCCCCGGTCTCGGCAGTCATGCAACGCTTGACTCCCGACGCTGGAGACACCTGTGGTGTGCGCTACTACGTGAGATGTTACTCATCGATAGACCTTCCTGACGAACACACGACGACCAGCGTCCTCAACTTCCCTATTCGAAAGGTACCGCCAAGTCGCTTCTTTTATTCTCTCGATTTCTGGAGCCTCTGCGATATCACGTGAATCACGGAATTCTCTCCGGAACAAAACGATTCCAAGAACCGAATTTCGCGCTTTAGTCTTGACGAATGAGTCGAACATGAGCCATGAGCCCGAATATTCGTGCCGGACCAACCCAAATATCTCCTGGAAACTCCTCCGGCGCTCCAGGAGGATACCAATGTCGAGAAATATGAGCGCTGAGTGAACCTCTGACTCTGACCGCCGGCCACCGGTCCCGAGGCCCGTCGATCCAATCGGGAGCAAGTCCGGGGAGAGAAAGGGAACTGGCCGGCACCTAGCTGAATTGAGAGACGGAACTTCAGGAGATCGATAGGCCATCCTCATAGAGGCCAACATACTCCCTCCCTCCCCCGCCCGGCAGCCCTCGCCCCCTTTCCCGCAGTTCCCCTCCTCTCTTCGGTCTCTGAAGAGTCTTCTCCCCATCTTTTATTCAATAGCGATCCGATCGCGAAGTCAATCGATCAATCTGCGCAGAAGGTTCTCACGGCACCGTGTGAGAGCGCGCGGCTAGTTCTCACTCCTGTGCAGGCTCGATCAGTCTCCGACAACTCCGGTAGACTGCTTGTTCTTGCGTGATCTCTCTTAACGGGACTCGAAACTTCGGAGAATTGACGCCTACGCTCGATTGACGGCACTTACACGCTTAATGTAGATATGGGGATTGGGTACCGGACACCCGGCGCTGACCGCATCGAGTCAGCGAGCGATATCATTCCCGCAGGTGCAATTCGGCCCACCGCCTGACCCGCTCCCAGCGCCGCCGAAGGGCTCAATCTTCAAAGAGTTTCCTCTGAACGGCGGTCGGTTGGCGCTCGAAGCCACTCTCAACAAATCGGTAAGGAATCCGAGAAAATCACTCTAAGAGATCCTCGCAGCCGTGGGCAGACCGAACCGCTGAGCTCAGCACTTAGATAACAGGACTTGTGCTCGCTTTTCCCAAACGAGATCACCTACTCGACGATCTGTGGAGTGATCGATCCCGGAAGATAAAGAATCAACACGCTGATCCTTGTCGGGAGAGAGCAAAAAACGGCTTGAGCCAAGATTGTGGTGGGGATGACTACTGATTGGATGGGATCCGGATGAGAATCGGCACAAAGCGAGAAAAATAAATGTCGCCAAAAACCTCGAAGAAGGCTCTCTTCCTAGAAAGCCCTCAGGGAAATGCTCTTTTCTCCGTGACAGCCGTCCGGAATTCATCCGCTGTTCCTCCTGCACCATTGACAGTTTTTGCCTATTTATCGAGAAACGGTCGCAAGTTCGGAGAACAGTCGAGCCTTCTCTATAGTTCCTTGGGGAAGAGGGGGGGAAGAAGAATTGCTTTTCCGAGCAAGGCTGTATCTGTTCGCGACTTCAGATATTTCTTCGAACCCCCCCCCACAACATTCGCATTTTTCCCCCAGTTCCACCTAGCTCGCTTTTGGTGAGACAACAAAACTCCGCGAGGTTGGTCTCACGTGAGTTATTGTGGTTTTCTTCTGAATAGATCGAGCCTTCTCGCGAGATACACTGAAGTTGCGATATTCCCAATAACACCTTGCTTCACGAACGAATCGGCTCCAGCAAACGCGGTTCGTCGCGAGCCGAGGCAGACGGGCGGTATTGTACGACAGACTGACGCGACGTCAGCAGTCAACTCATGCGACTCAAGGACCGCATTGCGGAGCTCTCAGTTGTAGTTTCTGCGTTCCGCAGATTTACGAGCACGGTGAAGAAATCCGGGTGAAAATCAGTCTGATCAACTCCTCGCACAAAAGCGTGAAACACGTGAAAGTCACCGTGCAGCAATCCGCCCAAGTAAATTTGTTCTCGACCGGGAAGTGGAAAGTCTGCGTCGCATCAACGAATAACAGGTGTGTTTCTCTTCGGACTTCTGATGATGAGTCCCTGATCCGACACCGATCAAAATTGAAAAATCGGATAGATTTGTAGCCGCCACCTTGATAGGTCCTGCAGCTCGCTCATGGTGAGGGCTCCATCGGATGATGGATGCGTCTTCCGGTCGATGATGCTCCGGGAAATCGCTCCCGAAAGTAGTACGGCATAACACCGGCAAGATGACTGGCGAGAGAAATCTTCTGCCAAGCGGACATTAGGCTGAATCGAAGGCCTGACCGACGTGGAGACAGTCGCACTTGGCTACGATTGGAAAATTTCCTCACGACCCTTTGATTGCAGGACCGACTGTCATGTGGGCTCAGGACACTGTGCGGAGCAGGAGGTGGTCTTAATTCCGACGGCAGGCGACAATAAAAACAAGTACGGAGTTTTTGTGCAGGGCAGCGAGTTTGAAGATGAGCCCTGCTTGGCTTCCACCACCGTGTAAGTATCGACATGGCGACGACTGAGTGAGTGCTCGTCGAAGATCAGGCGTGAATGGCATGCCGGATCGCGCTGCCTCGATGCGAACCACCACACGTGGACAGCCTCCTCCGCGATGTCATTCCGGAGAGGGAGACTTGGATTGCGCTTCTCGTCGATCTCCCTCGTGCCGGATGATTGGCTCCCATGCTCGCGGATCATTAGGAATCCTCGCGATTGCTCACGGGATGGGTGCCGGCATCAGACGAGTAGATGGGCAAACCCAGATTGTTATCCTCACGATTGGGTCCCGCCGTCCAGGAATGCTTCAGTGTCCCCGGAAATCACTTCCCAAAAGCCAGATTCGGGAATATACAGGGTAATTGGAGACGCATAGGGCATAAAGTACATCTATCCACATCTTTCCCTCCACAATTAGTTATCTTGTTCCGGGAGGCAGGTTGAGCAATGTTATTTTGCCATTTGTAGCCAAGCTCGTTGAGCGAGCTCTTGGAGAAAAAAATAGTTTTCAACTCCTAGGGAATCCGGTTTGCGTCTCGAGAGCGATCGGCCGCTTTCTTCTCCCATGGTTGTGAATAGAACAGGAGCAGAGAATAGGAGGGGGAAATCCCGTCGCAGTATTTCCTGGATCATGGGGAATAGACTGCGCAATGTATGGTCATGAAGGACATTCCTCTCGAAACTCCGTTCTGATCGCTCATCTTGTCGCTTTGCTCGATAACTCTGTATTTATCGTTCCACTGACAGGCTCTCGGAGGAAGCGCGGCAGGATTACTTTGGCATCATAATTGACTACGAGGTCAAAGTTAAGCTGTGTTTAGCCGCCCTCAGCTCTCTCTCAGGGTAAGATCATTACGATTCATTACGCAAACTGGACATTCTCAGTCAGACGACTCGAGGCTCCTCGGCCAATTTTGTTCGGCAGTCTAGGGCGTGGCTTTAATGAAAGGAAACCGCAATCCAATGCTTCATGAATTCCCGCTCCCCAGGTTCAGAACATGGATGTGCAATGGGGTCAAGGGTCTCGTGGACGACAAGGGATCGCCAGTGTCCAGTCCCACCAAAGCTCCATCGACACCAGCTGAAAGGTGTGTAAAAGACAGTCAAACTTCAAAGAAAACACAGTGCCCTGGACGAATTTTTGAGAAGCCTTACAGAATTTTACACGTTAAAGGCTATTTTTCTCGAGGAAAGCGAGCAGGTATATCACTTCCGCATGACCTCCCGCACGCTCATGAATCATGAATATCCGACATATGCTTAATTTGAGTAAAGAGCATGAAACCACTCCGCCCTGACAACATGCCTAGGAAGGGACTCACAACTCCCAGGCTAATGCCAGTGTTTACATTGAGCAAGCGTGACCTGTCCAACCCCTCACGATATGGGAAATCGAGCAGAAAACTCGCAAACTGGCCGTACTGTCCCACTACGATATCAAGAGGTCCGGCGACCGCGAAGTCTTTTGAGCTCTCGAGTATTTCCGCTTGAGACAGCTACTCGGATCCAAAGCGTTGCAATTTCCTCAGCACGAACGATCTGAACTTTTTCCCCCAATGAGCCTCGATTCCAACACTCGCCCTCGGCCCGGCGGTCTCATTGGAAAACGGGGATAGAGATGGCAAGACTCTTTCTCAGTCTCGAGAATGGGCGGTAGAGAATTGACCGGAGTTCTTCTCATGGGGAGCGCGTGGTAGGAGCTATCGCACCTTCGAAGCAACGATTGATGGCTACATATGTATGCCGAGTGATGCGAAAACAGTCTGGGAGAGGCTCCTGGAACTTTTTTTTCAAGCTATCGTTGAGGTCCCGGATCGATCGCGGGAATAACTTTCTTTCCTCTTTTCCAGGCGAGGCGAAATCGCTTGTTTGATCCCTTTCCAAATCTTCCAAAGAGGTCCGACGGTGTCTGTGCCCAAAGCCCCAAGCGCTCTCGAAACCCGAGTGGAAGAGATCGCCCTCGAAGAATAAATTCCAAGGCCGTCTCGACATTTAAAAAGAGCTCATCTCGATTGATCTCCAATCGTCCGCCTGTCGAGGTAAACGTCGCCTGAGATAACTTTCAATCTTCTGAGGTACCCATCATCACGTGACACTCATCATTCCGTGGTGCGCGTCATCACCCGAGTACTCTGCCTCGTTCACGAATCGACGAGAACCGTCTCTTTCGCGCGACTCTCATCATGCCGTGGCTCTGCCAATGATGAAGACGGATTACCCAGTGCGACGCAGTCGAACTAAACCTACCAGGCACCGTCGGCGCTGCACGTTCAGGACCGAAGCCGTACTCGAAACGGAGCTGATGAGCTGTAGCTTTCTCGGACCCGCCGATGGCTCTTCCTCTTATCAGAATCAAGAGTGAGATCCGAGAGTCGCGTCATTACAATGAGCTACAACGTACGGCTCCCGTGAAAGTTCTCGGGAGAGGATCTCTTCTAGTCTGAAGACCGGAAAGAGGAGACATGGAACATATGAACTTGAAACCACAACTTGTAGAAGCGTGGGAACCGATCAAGAGATAGATGCAGCTTCGAGAAAGCGTCGGCGAAGATGTTATTAGAATCGTCGTGAGGTATTTTCAAAGCTTTTCTTCCCCGAAATGTCGAATCATTGTCTGAAAGCCCCCGAGTTGATTATCCTGATCGATGAAGAAATAAAATATTTATCTCAAGTAATTGGACTCGTTCTCATTATGAAGCCTATCAGCCCAAACTCGGCGATAATCTACTCCTAGTGCCGAGCCGATGAAGGAAGAAGATGTGCACGCCGGCACGGGATCACACGTTGCTCCCGGTCGAATGGGGGACTGTAGAGATTTGTTGGCCGATCGTTGGCTCGCCGGATCGAGATGTGTCCTGAGAGAACCGAATTAAGCGCATCGGGCGAAAGCGTTCCAGGAGAAGGTGGCCACGGGGACCGGGCATATCCTCGAAAATATGGAGCCTTTCCGTCGTAGGTCGCATTTGCAACTCGATGCGTACCCGCTATTGAAATGAGGAAAGAACTTGAATGATGATAATGATTACTAGGAAAAAAAGCTAATCTGCGGACGGGAGTCGGTATCCGAGACGTCCGAACGGGAGTCGGGGACCACAAAGCCTCTAAAGCTGTGCTCCCTGAAATTTTTTGTCGATAAAACCGATAGCATCGATAAAACCGACACATCGTTCGCATTATTTCTGATGTTGCACTTAGAAATCTACCCGCAGCAGGTCAACTCGGAGGTTGCTTGTTTCAGTCGGCGATAACGAACCTAGTTTCGAATAACCTATCTTCATGATTCGGTCTCTGGGGAGAGTGGGATGGCGGCAACTATCAAACGGCAGCTATCCAAGGATCTATATGGGGCGGGGGCTCTCTTCTGACCACGGGGAGAAAAAATCATGTCCCTTTCACAATCAACACCATTTTAGCGATTCACAAAGTTCATTGATGATCAGATTGAACTCAAGCAGACCCCAGCTGACGATGTCGCGTCGACATGATCTTCTCCGTTGTACATATGGAGCTCTCAAGCTTCCCATCCCTAGTTGGGAACTTTACATCGACGCAGGGAAACAGAACAATGGTGATTATACGCTTGTTACTTGGGAATTATTAACGAGGGAATCAGCAGAAGAAGGAAAGGCCGGAGCGGTCGTTAGGATGTCTCGGGTGATAGTCATTGAGCCGTACAGGCAAAACATCGGGCTGGCTTTAGGTCAGTCCAATTTCCAGCCGAGCTGTCCTTCGATCCGGTTTCCCTAGTCATCTGTTGCCTTAAGAGGCGATATCGGCTTCGATGTCATGGCAAGTCAGCACTAAGCCGAGGCGGCTATGACGCAGCCTGAAAGAAATGCCCAATTGTCCTATGTTTCTAGGCACTTTCTCGCTCGCGGTCTATCTGTTGTGCTACGGGTTGAGCTCCACAAACACTCACCATCGTTAGATCTCCTGCCATAACTCTCCGGGACCCGTTGCTGCTACTCACCTTTTGAGTCCAGACCGCGGTGCTCGGAGGTATCAGTCGAACGTGGTGGCCCAAAGACAGCGGCACGCGACAACATTCCGACCCCAAGACTCGTGAGTTTCGAAGATTCTTTTATTTCCCATCAGCTTGAGCCCAAGTCAAGAAAATATTCAGAATCACTGCCAGAGGCCCTTGTGGGCTGTCTGGAAACCTGAGCCTCACCCTAACATTCGGATTTTAAGGCGGTCTCTGCCGGGAAGTGACCTGCTCTCCAAGGGGGTTTTTCTAAAAATAACCGCCGAAGGCTGACGGCTGATTATTTATCTATGGCACGCATGCAGCCGTCCGAATTCCGAACGTTGTCGTTGCTGTTGTAGGCGGCTGGTACCGAGGAGTCAGCGTGGGTATATGAAGCAGAAAGCTGCTCTGGTCGAAGAGCACTAACAGATGATCCCAAGAGGGAGCCTTCTTTCACACCTCGGGAAACACGGGCTGGATCGGGTGGAAGCGCATGGCGTAATGATACGAACTCCTCCACGGGTAGGCCGCGCTATCCGTTCGCTGTCGCGCGCTGGAAACCTGCTGCTCGTACGACGGTTGCCAGACACAGCGCAGATGAATGCAGTCGAGCCCCGTGCAGCACGGGTACGTAATCTGTCTGCCGCACTGTGGAGGGAAAGAAGTGAGCAGCATTGTTCCCCGTTCCCGATTTCACCGGAATCGGATTTTCTATATCATTCCTAGTAAGGTTGAGATCAGAGCTGTGCGCTGCGTGGCGAGATCGCCGGCGCGCCGGCGCGCCGAGTGTGCAAGTCCGCCGCCAGCCGCCACCGAATCCCCACGGCGTGGCGGCGGCGAAAACGCCGGCGGCGCGCCGTCGAATTCGGTAGTCAATACTGTGCATGATGCTGCTAAGGCGGCGGCAGAATGAGAGATTTCGACTCTAATTTCGACATGAACGGAGGTTTTCAATCGCAGGAAATTTGTTGCGAGAAAAACGGTGTACTTTGGATCCAATAACGATGACGAAGACTCTTTTCATTCACGACAGCAAAAGTTTCTTGCCGCGTATATGACACATAGTTCCGATGTTAAGTTAAGGCATGCCCTTCCCTACATTGTTATTGGGATGGAAAATAAATTGTAAATAGTCGTCTCTCCTATATTATTCCCAGTGGCTATCTCCTGCGCCGAGGTGCGCCGCTGTAACGCCGCGGCGTGCCGCCGCGCCGGGTATTTCTCCCCCGCCGCCGCCGCCGTCAACTCTGGTCGCGGCGCACAGCTCTGGTTGAGATGTCAAAATTCTGAATTTCGGTACGTTTTCCAGCCGGTGACCCCACGAAGCTTCTCTCGAACTCCGACTGAATGTGAATCTCCATGATATTGAGTGGTTTGACGGGTACATGATTGACAAAAATATTGAGCAGCTCGGCCCGATCCTTCGCTTGAGTCACCCGAACGAGAAAACGCGCTCACGCGAACCCGCATGCGTACGCGGGACGTCTTGCTGGCGATCCCGAGAATGGCGGTCTATGTTTGCATGATATGCAATTAGTCCTCGTCGCGTACCAAGACAGAGAGAATTTCTGAATTTACCTTCCACTCTGTACAAGTCCCGCCGGGCAGCCGCGCGACGCCGACGCCTCGACTCTGCAAATTCTCGCTTGCTCGAGGGCGGTCCAGTGGGTTTCCCCTCCCCAAGAGTCTGAGGGGAATCCAATCGAGCGAACTCCATAGACTGTTTCGAGCCCACCGACAGTGGGCACTTCAGACCGGAAAACGGGCGCAATAGACCAATTTCGAAAAAGATTCACGTCAACACCGTAAGAGAGATGATTGCGACGAGGATATAAGGCAATGAAAAACTTTGGTTCGCGGTCGAGAGAAAAGAAATTGACTTTTCCGCGCTGGCTGAGACGGCGGGTTGGCCAGAATGAGCTCTTGCGGCCGGATCTCCAGTAAGTCAATGGTCCACTGTTTCGGGATCGGAGTATGCCGGTTTCATCTCCTGCTAGTCCTGAACTCGGCTCTGGTCGCCCCACTCCGTGAAGCTCGAGAGCACAGTCAGGGTCATGGCATCGGCAGGAGAGAGAATTTTTTTTCCCGAATTAATACTCACGTCTTGGAGGTATCCTCTGCATCCTGCTTCGCGTCTTGTGCGGAAACCGAGCGCTTCACTCAAGGTGCTCTGCGGCGGGAGCGACGGTGACGCACTCGTCGCTATCGACAGAAATAGCAGCAGCAGCAGCAGCACTACCAGTGCCGGCAGGTGTCGTGGTGACTGCGGGGACCACGAACGAGCAAACGACGCGGCCGAAGTCCTCATTGCGTATTCGTTGTTTTTTCGTGCGGAGACGCTCCCGAGGCACGGCCACAGAATGAAACAGCTCGGAGTGGGACAGTGTTTCCAGTACGTTCTAGTGCGCGGTCGCCAGATCGACTGCCGCGACAGCATCGGCTGCGGTAACAAAGGGAGCCGCCGTAGTTACGGGCACTGTTTTCCGTAGAGCTTCAGCTACGCGAGCGGAAATCAGCGTGACTTCGCAGACATTCTTTCGCTCGTTCGCTCAAACGAACGCACGGACGGGCGGTCCGCCTGCCTGACTCCGAGCAGCTTGTAAGCATCGCCGCCAACCGAGGACTGACGACGAATCGTTACGAGGCACTTTTCACCGCTGCTCCATACGCTCCCGTAGGCTCAACCACGGAAGTCGAATGAAGCGAGCCGGAAAATGAAGCGTGCGGAGCATTGAATTTACCGGTGTCCAGTTTGCTTCGGCAATGGATTGTCAGCGAAGGATTCGCGCCAGTAGAAGACTTGAGCACCGTTGACCCCGGAAAGAGAAAAATTGGGCTCTTAACAAAAACAGTTCCGCGCAGGAGATGTGGAAGATGAACGACTAGCGAGGGAACCCTGGGATACGGGGAGATTCGGAGAAGCCGTGATTGGAAACGCAAACGCGTTCCCGAATCACAATTAATCTTGAACACACTCGATATCGTTTGTTCTGCAGCCGATGGAGGAACGATCGGAGGAGGAAAACGTTTGAAGTTTGAGGGAACGGTCGACCCTCGAGACATCTATGGAGACCGTCTTTGCAGCTCGGATCGAAAAAAACACTAGAGAAAGAATCTACACGGCAGAGGGAGTCAGAGAAAAGAGAAATTAGCGTCCCGACGACTCTCCTGATTGAAGAGCCGGCCTCGCTGGAAGGGGCGAACTTTGGCCGGCTTTATTGAATGGAAACCGAACGGTTCCATCGACCGAAAGCGATGGCAAATATCGCTACACTCAAGGCTCCATGGCATCAAAAAAGCCATAACTTCGAAGAGCTTTTCCACCTAGCGTGCTCCCTGTGTCCTATGTCAGCCCTTCATAAGGATAGCCGCTCAAACAGTAACAGGGCAGCCAAACGAGTGCGGCGAGGGCCTTCTGGACCTCGAGGCAGAAAATATCCCTGGTATGCAAGCGGCTCTGAACAGGGGAAATCAGGCGCAAGACCTCAGCGCAAGAGCTTGTGGTACAGAGCATGATACTCCGCCCGTTTGAAACATGCGTTGACGCGTTTCGTTAGAACGTGGTGCTCCAACAGTATATGATTGGAAAAGTGGACAAGAACAATGAAATTCTGGAGCTCCTCGGGGACCTCTCGTCCGAAGAAGTCTTCTCCACCACGGGGAACATCGGCACGCGCATGTATTGAGCGCGAATTCTCACAGGCTCCCGACCGCACCCGCTTTCAGTGAATTGCAGTAATTAAGGGCACCCTGATGGATTGTCCGAGAAGCAATGGATGCCCGAGTTCTCACCGCTCAAGACGCTGAGCGATCTCGGATCGTTCCTCAGGGAAACGGCCGATTAGAACTCTTGAAGACATTGAAAAGATACGAAGCTCTCGATACGCGAAAACAGCCTCGTCTCCCGGTGTCGCCGTTCGAAGCACATAGCTAGAACAGCATCGGGACACCGGTTGAAATATGATTCATCCTATCAATGAGGCCAGCCTCCGATGCCTCTCGGACTATGGATGATCGAAGTAAGTTCGTAAGCTTGTCCAGCATCGAGCGGCGTCCACATTGGGATTTCAGGATGGACCTCGCAAAAAACGTCGGGCTAACCGAGCGTGTCTGAGCTATCCCGCTAAGAGTCGATTCTGTACGCAAGTTCGGGCAAGTTCCGAGACCTTATCGTCGGACTACGCAGTCCCGGCTCACCTCCGACTCCCCGCCCGTCGGAAACACTGCAGACTCACGTATTTTAGAGCTTATTGTACGTACACGAAGGCTCGAGGAATCCCGGACGAGCCAAGAGAACTTCTGGATGTGCGAGAACATCCAGGATAAGTGTTGCATTATCGGCGGCTGGATAGTCCGTTTCGGATCGTGAATTGTGCCGAACGAATAAATTTCCCTGCATGAGCAACGTCCGGTGGGAAATCTCAAACACGAGAAAGATGTCAAGGGATATGCGCGCGTTTCTGTGTGCACACGTCTCGCGGTCACGTTCTTCTCGGGACGGAATGAGAGTTCCGACCGTTCGACATCAGAGGAATCCTTCCGGACCAGGGAAGGCACGCATTCCAAAGGCAGGGAAAATCCCAAGATTCCATAATAGACGAGTGATCCGTCGTTCAAGCCGGAGAACATCAGTCTTCCAACGCCAGGCATTCATAGGTTCTCAGGTACACAAAGGGATGGTAATTCGGAGTGACGGCCGCCCATGATCCTACTCGGCGCTCGCGTCTTCTCGTTCGCTTGATCGATTACTCTCTCTCTGAAAACGCCTCATCGACGCTCGCACTCGTCTGTCCAGAAGGGACAGACTCCGCTGTTTGAGGAGATAATCCCGACCGCTCAAGCGATAAGCGGCTGGGGCGATGGGGGAGGGAGAGGGAGAGGATCACTCATCAGCTTTGAAGTCCCAACGACCTGCCGCTCCTTCCGGTCTGGTCGGTTGACTTTCAATCGAGACGCTATCACAATCGATGCGTTCGAGGAGATTACGATAATAATGGATAATGAGCATCTATTTAAGCTTTCACTCCCTCCCATCCATTGGCAAGCATCCACGCTGTGTGACCTGCGTCGGGGGGATCGACGCGTCAGTCTTACTCCATGGAATCACCGGAGGCAGCAACGGGAAAGTGCCCTCTGCACTGCAGCATCCGCTCCGCAAGAAGAAATTCTATTATCATGTCCGTGAGGGAATGGAGCCCAGCGACTGGACCGAAACGTCGACCCGTGCTCTTAGAAGCGCCGCGACTTCATTGCGATTGTTTCTCGCAGTCTCTATAAAACGGGGTTTCGGGAGTCAGTCCAACGCTCTCACTATAGGGCAGGGGTGTCAAAGGATGGCCCGCGGCCGATCCTCAGAAATTCCATAGGATCATATCCTTGTAAATTTCGAATCACGAATAGAACGAGTCGACTCTGAAAAATCGAGAATCAATTGTGACCCATCATGCATATACATATGTGTTTCCCTCCAGCTTTCCGATCTCTCCGCTCAAACAACGTGAATCAAGGATAATGTCGAAGAAATCTTTGGATGTGGCCCGCCGGCTTCTTCCAGTGCTCCTTCGTGGCCCGCCGAAGATTTGACTTTGACACCCCTGCTATAGGGGCACCGAGCTCGATCTTTGGGGCCGGCCAATGATTTTCATCGAGGAATCAGGGACTCCAATTCATTATACTATGAGCAGTAAACTCATCTAGGTATGAACAAGTCGGGATTAGAGGAAATGCAATCGCGCCCGTGCCCACCCCTGCCGATGCTGTCGTGGCGGTAGAACTTCTCTCATCAGCGGTGAATCCTGACCTTTTTATCATTCCGCGATTCGTCCCTGAAATATTCCTGCAATTATCGCCGCCGCGACGACTCAATAGAATGCTTGCTCGGTTCGGGCTTGACAACGGTCACTGATATTCTATCTGGAAGAGTAGATCGATTGCCAAGTGCGATCTACTGAACCTGGGTAAGGGACAGCTCCGCGGCTATGACATAGCTCAGCTACTTACTATCAGTCAGTGCTCGCTCGACAAGGTTGGTCAAAAACCAGGTTGAGATTAAGAGGGACTTTCGTCTCTCCCCGGACACCTAGCTCGTGGAGATTGTCCGCCGTTCAGGGCATCGAGAGACTTTCACCTGACTGAGACCTGACTGAGGTGCGGACAAATGGTGGACGACTACAGTTCGGTTGAAGTGCCCTCCCTCCTAGTAAACGGAGTGCGATTCCCGGACGTGTTCCCCAGAGAATGCGTGGAAAGCGCAATCAAGTGAGTATCACGGGGAACCGTGGAAAGAGTAGATCTTTCTCATCCCGAGGACCCATACGAGCTAGACATGGGGATGGTCCGTCGAGGGCTCTGGTCTCTGGAACTGGTTGTTGAACCGGGAAATCGGCCCCTCGAGCCTGGATCCGGGTCGTCCTTACACATCCTTACTAGACGCTCCCATTGCGATCGGAGGAAGTATCTGGCTCGGGGTCATCTCGGCGTTGAATGTTTGTCTCGTCGGAAATCGCAGAATTTCTGGTTCCGGAAAATGTATAATGGCATATTCTGGCTGAAATTCCCCGGGGAATAATTTTGCAGGCATCGCGCTCATGACGAAGATCTCATTGTTTGCACCTACCCGAAAAGTGGAACGACTTGGGTCCAATACATATTATGCTATCTCCTCCATTACGGTGGGTACCATCTTCACGGAAAATTCATGAATTAAGTCTGGAAGGAAGAAAATCTCGAAGCATTGCCGATCCTCACTGCTCATGCTGGCAAATCATCAATAAGAAAAAACGCCGGGTCTAGATACGGATGAATCACGAAGGAGAAGTGTGAGCCTCCCGATCATTGTGCGCAGATGAATTCGATGGAACGGTCGCGAAAATGAACGCACTCTGTCCTTTCGTGGATCATTTTGGCACCGACAAACTCAAGCCGGGAATGATGTACAAACAACATCTGCCATTCAACCCCGAGACGTTTAATGACAAGTCGAGGCTCATCATCGTTGTGCGAAACCCTCGCGACGTTGCCATTTCCTTCTACCACTTCGTGACTCTACTTCCACCGAAAGTTCCAGGTGAGGGAGATTTACGTCTCTCGCTCATCATCTCCTCTCTTTTTCGGAATTATACAGCTGCTCCAGGTTCATTTACCTGACTGTACGATTTGCGCCGCGCTGTCAGACAAGCTCGGAGCCGAATCGACTCGGAACGAACTTTCGCGGGCAGCATAAAACTCTGAGCATGCGCCCCTTTTCGAGTACATAATTCGAGGAGAGCGTTGCATCCGACCACACTTGAACGGGTTTTGCGATCTCTGGAGACCGAGGCTAGTCTTTACACGACACGAGCGGATTCCACTAGGGAACCATAACCGATATCTGAGTTCCGCCTATAGGCGTTCCCGAAGGCGCCAACTGGTTCAAAAGATTCTCGCAGCTCTTTGTGAGAGGTGAAGTTTGGTACGGGGATTACATGGAGTGGCACCGGGGCTGGCTCGAAGGGGCGCGGAAATATGGCAAGCCAGAAAATATCCTGTTCGTGGTCTACGAGAAAATGAAGAAGGACCCTCGGAAAGAACTTATCCGGATCGCAAACTTCTTGGGAGAGGAAGTAGTCGAACTAATCAAGGATGAAAAGGTGACAGGAATGACTGTCGAGCTCGTCCTTGGCTCGACTTTGAGATTTTCGATAGCGATGGGAGTCGGATCCTGAAGCTCGGTCCTGCAGACTTGTCGGGAATGCAAGCGACGATCACGATGTGCATCGTCCGCAGGTCATCGAGACGATCCTTGAAAAAACACACGTGAGAAGCATGAAGGAGGCCGTTAACGAATCTTATTCCGCTACGCTCGACGATGAGTCCGGCGAAATTCCCGAGGTGGTCGAATTTGTCCGGAAAGGGACGGTGAGGATTTCGAACGATTGTACGCCGGATGAATTTTCTCGTCGTCGCAGGGAAAAAATCTCAGTTCCTACAATTTCCCTGAGCAATTTCCGACCCTGGCAAGAGAATAGAGTCGCAAGATTCCCTTCTTTTCCAGGTTGGAGATCATGTGAACTATTTTACTCCGGAGATTTCGAAGATGTTCGACGAATACATTGCTTCAGACCCCAGGAATCGGGAGATTATGGACATGTTCGATGTCTGAAATGTTTTGAGCAAAGACAATCGTCGGAAGAGTGAATTCCCAATTTTTTTAGGAAGCTCATAGTAAGTTATGTTCCCAGATACTCGGGAGAAAGCCGAACAATCGAATAAAAACACGAAAAACTCCGCTGCAAATCTCGACTCGTTCCTCATCTGGGACGATGGTCTCGCCGATTGTCCGCTCTCTGTGGTCTTGGGAATTGCTGCGGAAAACCTTCGACTATCTGAGCTGCTTTAGAATCGGGGAACTCCGAACTCGAATATCTTCCCTTACTCGAATTTCGAGGTCTCCATCGTAAGCATATTCTCGAGCTTCAAGGAGTATTGATGAACGATTGAGCTTTAAAGAATAACGTTTTCCTGTAGTTTCCGAAAGCCTCATCGATCAGAATGGAATGGGCGGCAGACCTCGCTCTCATTCTGAGCCGTTGTCTGTCGAACCCATCCGGGAGAAGTTATCCATACGACTGGAGCAAACGATTCTGGGAATAGCGCTGTCATGGGTCATCTAATTGTAAGAAATCCCGACAATACAGGGAAATTGAACACATTTCATGAAGAGAAGAAGTATAGAGTTGAGATGGTTGATGTGTACAGCATGGTGGGAGTGCCGGACCTTGCAGCTCTGATTGCGAATCCTCGATTCCCTCTAGCTATGGATTATCATTGAAGTTTCTCGAGTCGCGCAATCGTTGGCGACCAGTTCTCATCATTGACGAGCAGAACTTCAATATGTCTCCAAGTCGCAGGATATTTCTGGAGCGGTGTGGAACGTCGAAGATCTAGTTGGAGTTCTACCTTAGCATGATTTCAACAACTTGAAGCTGCCTCAATCAGACTCGATCACGATCACTCGGTTTCTCGGCGCATCGAGTCTCAGCTGGAAGCACCTGAACCCACCACTCCATTGGCGGTATTCATTCTCTGCGATTTTGACGCTCTTCGCCGCTTCCATTCCTGGAGCAAATGGAGGCTGTGTTTCCGAAGATTCGTTCTCCTGGCCTCCTTGCCTTCGAGAAGCTTAGATGACGGGAACCAGGAAGCCGCGGCTTCTGAGCTCAAGAAAACTTACTGCACGAGGCTTTTTCTCAAGAAAAGTCGGGCAGCTGGAATTTCCCGTTCCAAAGCGACCGCAGTTTCCTTGACAAGTTCCGCCGTAAGGCACGAAGCGTCGTGCCGTAGCAAAATGATTCGGTCCTGACCAGGGTTCATGACCGGGCGTTTCCCCGTGATTGCAGAGTTCAAATCAATCAGCTAGTATTAGTGAAGTACACAGACCAAAACTCCACTAGGTTTCAGTAGTTCGGGGTGGAATTCCAATCCTCGTATTAGGCGAAGATGCCGGAGGGGGGCTCTTCAGCCGCGCAGAAGTAGAAACTCTGATGTTCCCCCAAGTCGATGATGTTCGACGAAAACACTACTCCAGACTGCCACAATCGGGAGCATTTGGCCCTCTTCGATGTGTGGAATACCCCAAGTACTGCCGATCCTTACAGACGGCGGAAATCCTTGCGAAAAAAGCACTCACATTTCAAAAATATTTCGTGATCCCCGGAAGAATGCCGGACTGTGAGATAAATCATTCACGACGGGGAGTATCGCCGTGAGGATATAGACTTGCTCCAGGGGGCGACACTTTTTTCATTCCCCGGCTTCTGTGGCTGCGGAAATACGCCGGAAAGCGTTCCACCACGTGAGCTGCTGCCGTATGGAGAAACTCCGTGGAGGGATATGTTTCCCAACTCGAGCTCATACATCAGGGTCCACTCTTCCTCGCATGCGACGGAGATGCTCGACGAACGATAAAGCGGCGCAGAATGACGCTCTCCCGTAGTCTGCGCGCTGAGCACAAGGCGGGAGCCATCTTATCCAGAAGGGAACGTGCCAGCCTAGTTAGCGAGGAATTTCATTCTCACATTCTTCCTGGACCCTTATCGAGATGGAGTCAGCGAGAAAGGTCCCAGAAATCGCCCATTCGAGGAACACCGACGATCAAAGGACTTGCGACATGTTCTATGAAGAGATGGCACGGGTTGGGTAGCACAGGAACCGAGGCAGGGGCGAGATGCGAGACCTAGGCGGAACGCGGTATTCTTCCAGGAGTTCCGCTGGTCGGAAACGTCGACCCCAAAGGCGCGGAATCGTGGAGGTCCCAGGATTATGAGTGGGTATGTAAATTTTTCGCGAAAAATTTCCGCCAAATTCGCGGTATTTCGCGGCCTCCATTGACACTCTATGGGGAATAGCCGGAAATTTCCGCGAAAATTCGCGGAAAAATGGCGGTCCTCGAAAAATTTACATCCCTAATCATGAGGAAAATATCTGATATGACCGTCGAGCTCCCTTGTCGGGAAAACCTCTCGGAACCACCTGTATCGATTTTATTGCATCTGTAAAAGCATTGCCTCATAATCGAGCTCGCAGTGCCTTGTGATGATCGGTGCCTGGTACCTAGTCTCGCTTCTTGAGCGAAATCGGACTGTCGCTCCGAAACCTCAAAAACCCCGATGTTTTCGTACCGATGCAGAACAACGAAGCTCTCCAACGAATAATTATTCCTAGATGATTCCGCCACGTGTTAGAGCCCCAGCCCTGGGCCCGATAGCTCGGTTTCTCAGTGCATCAACGACTCGACGCCGTTATCGCCGCCATTTAATACTTCATTCGCGATATTCGTGTTTGATTTCAGTATTGATGTTCGTTGTGACTTTCATTCGCGGGACGAGTGGGGACTGTGTTTTCAGGGGTATTTGTGGCGAAGAGGAAGCGGAGGATTCCCTCTCATCAATTGTGCCGTGCTCGATCGAGGGGGAGTCGAGGAAACCGCAGGTATTGAGCTCTGAGAGCTTGATGCATTTGTCAGTTTTCTGTTTGGAGTTTCGTGAGGCAGGAGAGATGTTGTTCTGTTGCGACGATGATCAAGTCAAGCCGCTGATCGCGCAACTCCGATGGTTGGAAAACGTCGTTGGAAAGTGCCCGTCATGCAAGTTCAATCTGGCTCGGATATTCTGCCACATGCACTGCTCACCCAAGCAGAATAGGTTCATCGGAGTGACATCCCTCCCGGCGGGTTCAGCCTCTGACCCGAGGGGCGGGTTACGAGCGCTCGGAAACGTCTCTTTTTCGTCGATGAGGGATACGCACAGCAGACCTATGATTCATGCGCTGAAGTGTTGACGAGGGACGGTCTCACATTCGCCGTCCACCTTCTCTGTGGAGAGTTTGGCACCCGCTGCTCGCCCGAGAGGTTGCTCACAGGGATCGCGAAAACCTTCATGGCGCCGGTGCAGATCGAGTTCCTCGGAGAAGCTCCTGTGGGTTACGAATTATTCAATCTGAGCGCTTCCGCTTGTAATGAAGCTGCGTCCGAGGACGAGTTCGCCTGCCATTGCACTCATTGCTCGAGCTCTTGTGGGGATGATCCTCACATCGATGAATAAATTTTACTTGGGTCCGAATCCCCTCTATCTCGGAGGGGGACCCTTGGAGCCACAGGGAACCCCTGCTCAGCCGTGACAAGTGAAACGGAGAGCTTCTGGCGAGAGAACGATTCGGGAAAGAAAGGACGATGAACGTCGCGAGAGCATCCAGCTTGAAGGAGATCGACACTCATTTCATTTGGGGAAAGGAGAGTCCTTCTGGGAGAGCGACCATCGCGGGGAGAGAACACATTGTTTCGATCGACCGGGAACCAGACGCTCGCGCGTCGAGTGCGTCAGTCAGCTCCTAGCGTCCCATATTGCGGCTTAGGGGAGCGCGAGACCGAAACATCGTGAGTTCCGTTTTCCTCGGCGAAACAGGCTGACTCTCTCTTTCCTCCGACACCGAATGAGACATGAGAACTCTGAGCGATCACCCTCCTGAAATGAGTCGATATATTCATTTGGGTATTCTCATTCTTATCTATGTTTATCTCCATCCTCATTGGGATTTCAGTCATTCTCTCGGGACCGTTACCGGAGGATGATGTCGTCCGATATGGATATCGGCTCTCTAAAGAGTCGAATTTTGCATGGAACGCGTTTCCCGACGATTTTCAAAAGTGAATATCTCGAAGAAGCCTTCGCGTGAGTTATGACTCCGTTTCGGACACTTCGCCTCCGGAAATCGTCGGGTTTCAGAGCTCATTCCACTCCACTGTATAGATTGTCAGCTCGGTCAAACTCTCGAATCCTCTCAGATTTCGACCTCACGATGACGACATTGTTCTGAGAACTTATCCAAAATGCGGAACGAATTGGGTGAAGCACATTATACTCCACCTACTCGACCACGGTAGGTTGCGATCCGTCTGTCGCTGTAGCTTCTCTTCAAACGTTTACAGCTGAACGTCAGGACAATCAGCGACGCGACGCCTCTAGTAGAGGGACAGGGGGAATGATGTAGGCTGACGCTTTCTTATTTTAAATGATCGTGTCTGGCCCAGAGAATTTCGACGGTGACATTGCCAAGGCTCAGGAAGCTTGCCCCTTTTTGGAGAAATCCGGTACCAAAGGTTTGAAGCCCGGTAGTTTGTTCATGACCCACCTCCCGTTCAACGTCGACACTTTCAACCCAAACGCGAAGTATGTCATCGTGTTGCGGAATCCGCGGGATGTCGCGGTTTCCTTCTACCATTTCTCAACGCGAATCGCGACGGCTTCCGGGGGTAAGTCAGGTCTGAGATCGGATCCTCGTCCCGCCTCGAATACAGCCAAGGGACGAGTTCCGGTGTTCCTAATTTGATTCAATGTGGCACCGAATCTGCGAATGTGCTCGAACGGAAGCTTAGAGAGCTGCGGCGCTTCCCTTGAAGATTTCCCAAAGGGCATATACTGGTTTCCGAGGTTCGCTGAACTCTTCCTGAAGGGTGAAATCTGGTACGGAGACTACATGGAGTACCACGGGGATATGCTAGAAGGATTGAAGAAGTATGGACGACCGGAGAACATTCTGTTCGTCGTGTACGAGAAAATGAAGAACCATCCGCGGGAAGAAATAAAACGGATCGCAGAATTCATCGGCGGGAAAGCAGCCGACTCGATCAAGGACGAGAAGGTAAATCTCGTGCTTCTCCGCGTCAGGAATACGTGATCATCCCGTTTTCTGGTCTGGGGAGCTCCTTCTCGAAATCGCTGTTCATCTGATCGAGAGTTCGGAATACATGTGCCGTCGAAGTAAGTTGATCCTCCATCTTAGATTTTAAGCATGATCTTGGAACGAACCAGCGTAGAGTTCATGAAGGAACGCGCCGACAAGTTATCGAGGCAAAATCCCGATGAATCAGATGAGCCTCGGCGAGGCACTCAAGCTGTTCAGTTCGTTCGAAAGGGAGTGGTATGTGTATGAGATAGTTCTGACAGAAGATTAACATTTCAACTTTCGGAGGTGCAATCCCTCACGCGTTCATTAGTTGCATGCAATCCTCAATCTAACCGTCGGCAAGCGGCAGCACCGCTTAATCGGGGATGGCAATTCTTCAGCCCGGGGGCGTTGTTGAATGGTCCATTATCATTCCAGGTTGGGGATCATGTGAATTACTTCACTCCGGAGATTCACAAGGCCTTCGACGACTATATCGCATCAGATCCGAGAAACAAAGAGATCATGGATAGATTCGAAGCTTAGCGGTTCAGTATATCTTATATATTCTCGAGCTGGAGTCTCCCCAAACGACAAGATATGGACGAAGCGTATCAGGTTCGGAAATCTCCATAAAATGCTCCCAATGAATAAAGCTCCCTCTTCACTATCCTGGATAAGAGTCGAAAATCCTCCATCAACATTTAATGATGGACGATGAGCTCCCGACCTGTCCTCGATGGACTTCCCGGCATGCCATAAATCGGAATGCATTTTATCGAGCTAGGAAATTCGTTGCACCTGATAATCACAAAATCTCGAATCCCACTCGTGAATTTATTGCATCCGTCAGATTCCCTGCTCGAAGCTTGATCATCCTCAAAAGATTTGAGGAGGATCTCACAGCGACTGACACAACCCTGCCAGGGCTCGAGAACATCAGGAGGCATGTAGATGCAATCAATGAATGATAGGGAGCATTCTCCCCGGAAACTTCTTGTAGCAAGGATTTCTCCATGGAGCCGTGAGTCAAAGCTGTCTCACGCTTTTCCAAAACTGACCGAGGAGCGTCTGCTACTTTTGGAGGCAGGCGAATTGAGAAAAAGTGTTGCATATCTCGCTCCCTGAAAAATTACCCTCACGTGAATTCAAGGAGCCGGTGAATCTTCTCGTCGGCAGGTAGGACTGGGATGGCGTCGCTCTCGCCGATCCAAATAGGATAGAGCTCTGGAAAGATAAATATTGACCGTTCGCTAGAGACTGGAGCGATAATCATTTGACGAACGGCCCGCCGGCCTGTCGACCGAGCTATCGAGCGTTCTGGTGCGGCAAGACGGAGACGAGGAGCGAATCAAGCGGTCGGGGCTTAGGAGCTCTAGCGATAGGGCTTAAGCTCTCCTGGCGGCGTATGACTCGGAACCATCCGCCGGCGAAAATCGTCGTAGGTATACATTGATCTGCCAATGATTCCCCATGACAGACTTGAGCATCCATTCAGGTGACTTTCGCGATCATTTTCCGAGCCAGTTGTCTACGCGGATGTATCTGAGGATGGCCGTCTCGTCGACAGAAATCGCTGAGGATTTCCTCTCTAGTACGAAAACTGAAACTCTCGATGGGATCTGAGTCAGGACACTGGGTATTGAATGGTTGGAATCGTCAAGGGACCCACTCGAAAGTCAATAGTTTCCAATTGATCCACCACCATGGCCCACCGACTGATAGGTCGTCCCACACGACGACGACGGAACCGTGATCTGCGTCGTCGAGACGTCAACATAGAGGGTCTATCGGGAGACGGAGGAGCCGGCCCAGGGTCGAAGGAGAGAGAGAGCACTTGCCAGGAGGGAGCGGAAGGGAACGGGTTCTCTGTGATAATGAATAGTAATATGATATCATTATGTATTTTCAAATTGTGATAACAATATCCTACTCCTCATCTGTCGACACGATCAAGAAGATGATGCCATCGATATTCAGATTCATGACGGCGATCCCGAGACACGTTCTCAAAGATATCTCCGATTCTCAAGCGGAGGTGCAAATATTCTGTAGCGCGAAACACTCTGTCTACTCAATGAGGTCTTATCAAGCGTCATCTGGTCAATTGTAGACGTAGACGCGGCAATTAGACGTTTAGCATGCACTTACGGCGCGAATCGGCCTGCGCAATACCTAGATCGTCGATTTCGCATGAAGCCCTGTGTCTTTGGGAGCAGTCGACCATTCGATCATGTAAATCGTATCGAGTGGAACCGTTCTCGTAAGGCTGGTGTATCCGGAAGAACTCCGTAATCGTTTCTGAGGCATTTTAAAGTCCCATTAGGGCGTCCCGCACGACAAATATAACGGAGATAAAGTTGAAAGCTCCTCGCTGACGGCGAAAGTGTCGATATCGATTCGCGGAGCGGAGATAGACAATCTCGAATATATCTCTCGTCGGGAAAGTCTTAAATCCACAATGAGACCATTCCAGACGGCGTCTTCTCTGCTCGAGAGAAGAAGTCACAGTACTGCGGGTCTCCCAGAGAATCGTACGTGAACCTCCCGAGCATGGCGGAAGTGCTCGATATGAATTCAATCGAGGTACCCTGCAGAATCATCAATGGGCATCGGAGTCCGCTCATGTTCTCTCCTGAATCTTTCGATGCTGCCTGCAAGTGAGTAGGCAATTCCAATTAGAGTGAGAGCAGTTTGGGGAAATGGGAGTGAGAACGAACCCTTTGATAGGAACATACAGAATCTCGGGATTGCTCGAATCGGGCTCCGCGAGAAAAAGAGAGGCTGGAATCCAGTTTCTCCCCAGGTACCGCGCCCACGACAGCGACATCGTTTTGTGCACATATCCGAAATGCGGAACCACCTGGGTTCAGTACATGATGTGCAATCTTCTACATTACGGTGAGCCGGAGCTTGGAGCCGGGAAAATCTGTCTCTGTGGAAGATCTTGATTTTTCCCGAACTCGTCCTGTGATGAGAATCCTTATCCAGATGACTTCGATGGGGACATGTCGACCGTGAAGGACCAGTGCCCGTATTTAGAACTGTTCGGTACCGGGAACTTGAAACCGGGAAGCTTCTACAAAATTCATCTGCCCTTCAACTCCGAAACCTTCAACCCGAATGCCAGATACGTCTTCGTCACACGGAATCCTCGAGACGTGGCCGTATCTTACTATCATTTCACAGCGATAATTCCACCAGGAATCCCTGGTGAGCCTCCCGCCTCCTGCGGAATTTCGCTCCCGAGAGCATGTCCTCGAATTTCGCGAGGCGAGAACGCAGGTCCAGAATTTCCGCGACGAACAGCCGAGCAGGAATGTCAATTTATTCCATACGACGTACAAGAATTTCTCTATCTGTTCAGGTGTCCCGAAGGGCGCCTATTGGTTCCCAAGATACGCTGAACTTTTCCTGAGGGGAGAAGTCTGGCATGGATGTTACATGAAGTACCACCGTGATTGGCTCAAGGGTCTCAGGGAACACGGAAAACCAGAGAACGTTCTGATTCTGGTCTACGAGAAGATGAAAAAAGATCCGAGAGGGGAACTCATCAGAATCGCGAATTTCCTCGGAGGACGGGCCGCGGAGCTCGTCAAAGATGAAAAGGTAATTGAGTATGCAGCGGCTCGGACAGATTTCTAATCCCCTAGGGTCGCTGTTCTATGGAGCGCCGTGTTAATATCTCGGGAGGGCTGACGAAGACGGGCTCGCTGACTGTGGGAGAGATTGTTTTGACACCGTATTCCTGCGGGACCCGAGCCTGTCTTCGGGAGTGATCCTTGAGAGGATTTGTCAATTCCTCTATCCCCTCGCACAGGTTGTGGAGACAATCCTGGAGAGAACGAGCGTCGATTCGATGAAAGAGTCCGTGAACAAGTCGGCCGCCTCATTGTTCAAGAAAATGAATGTCGCGGTGGATACACCAAACGATAGCGTCGAGTTCGTACGGAAAGGAGTGGTGAGCATCCACGACGCTCATGTCTTGCTTCCCACAACCCACGCCTTTTCCTATTCTCCTTCTATATTCCGATTTTAGTCTGCTGGGCCTTCCCCCGGGTCTCAAGAAGTTTATGAGAAATCGGCAACGTTTTCAGGTTGGAGATCACGCCAACTACTTCACCCCGGAAATTTCCCGGATGTTCGATGAATACATTAATTCCGATCCCGGAAATCAAGAAGTCATGGAACTCTTCAACGTCTAGGTAGATTCCATTGGGTTTGACGCTGCTCTATATACTCCGCATACTGGAACGGATAAAGCGCGCAAACGTATTCCACGTAAATCGATTGAGATCTCGACGTCATTCGAACCACAATCGGGCGCATTCGTTTGTGAAGTCGATTTCATCACTATTCTCGTCCATAGAGGGAAGAGAGGACTGACGAGATGGATTACCGCAGAATTTTTCCGGAGGATTTATCTCATCGTTCGCAGAAATCAATTTCCGCTCGCCTTCCATGGGGATTATCGGCGACCCATCCTACCAGGGTTTTCTTCAACGAGATTTCGATTTTTTAAGAACTCCCGCTGATGTGTTCGCTGCCGCCTCACGGGTCTGCCGGTGAAAAATTGATTCGGCGTACTCCGGTCGTTTCCGCTGGTCCTCCTCACCGCTCCAAGGGAGCATCTAGCGAAGGATTACGTTTGGATTGGTCACAGGTCTAGGTAGGAGATTCTTCCCACTTTCCATGTATCATCTCGAATGAACGTCGCGTCGTTTCATTGTCGGATTGCTAGAAATGATAGGGTCACGTTCATCTCAGCAAAGCACCGATCATTGTGCCTGAGATCCAATGAGCCACAATGGACGGTCGTTGCCAGATCGGTAGACTTGGGTTTGGTGATTGAGCGTCGGCGTCGGTACCATTGGAGACATTGCTCTGTCTGATGCGGTGAAGAACTTATCGAATAAGGCATTCAGTGTCGCGCGGAGCACCGATTCGCTGCATAATGAAGTGTACCTGATATTACGGGGAGGGTATGCCTGAAGCGCTGTTTCTCTGCCGCAATTTTCCCGATCCGAATACGAAAGACTGCCAACGCTGGACATCTGACTGTGCCGTACGGAAGGTATGCCGTAGCGGTACCAGCTCCCCCTCATACATATAAGAACGCTGAGATTCGTCGACTGATTTCCGCTGACGGCCTGTTGCAGCTCATGTGAGATATTTCTTGTTTTCATCCAGGTTCTTTCGACAGCGAATATGATATCGCGTGGCATGAACATACCAAACGTTGTATCCGAGTCTATGTATATTTGAACACATAGGCCCGGTGGGTCCGAATAAACAGCTCACTCCGCTAGCAGATCGGATCGGAATCTTGTGAGTGCGGAAATTCCGATCAGTCGGAACTCTGGCCAGATAACGGTGTCAGTCTCAGCCGGGAAATTGTTTCTCTCTCTTGCTCGGAATTCCCGACGCATGCCGATCTTTGGAACTCGGATTTCTCTTGCTCCCGGAAGCCAGCATGCTAGTATTGTTGTTTCGTGTAGACTAGGCTATAATTGGAAAATCGATGTTCCACGATAATGACGGAGAGACATCACCTCGGTTGCCGAGTTTTATTCCGCTGAAAACGCGGACGATTCGGCCTGAATTCGGTCAACGCGCCGTGGGGTGCTGGACGATTCCGAGGTAAATGGAGCTGACACGACTTCATTAATTCTAAGATGCATGAGCCTAAAGCTCGTAAAACTCATTGGGACATCGAGAGACTCAGGAATCGCTCGAGCCTTGATGGGAGTGCTGGGCTCGATCAAGTGTACCTGAATCTCTTGAAAATTTCGAGAGCACTCCCTGCGGAAGAACCTTGGGGAATCTCTCAAGTTCGAGGAGAGCGAGCGTTCCGCCTTGTCCACGGATCCGCTACCCGTATGCTGCATCCTTGAAGCTCCGTGAGCAATCGTTCTCGAGAAGGTCTGAAAGTAGTTTACGCAATCCGAACCTGCCGTATTGCTCAGAACGCTTGATTCGGCTTGATTCGGCTTGCCCCCCCCCCCCAACCTCCCCCGAGCGCGCGGATTTGATGCTGATCTTCATGAGCCTCGAGGATGTTTTGTCTCTAATGGAAGACGCGGCCACACGAGTTCCGGCAGCTTCCATTTCCACACGGAGTTCTCGCTATCTGGCATGGCAAGTGCGCGGCGGCGCGGGATTCCGAGCTATTTCGAATCCATGTCTCGATAGTGTCGTTCTCGAGTCCATTCATCCAATCATAGACATTGTAGAAAGATACTTCACGGGAGCAGCACCGACCGTGACCACGTACGGAAATCGGGGACACGAGCTTCATTCCGAAGGGTAAAGCACAAAGTGTAGCCGCATATAGCATTAATAGCATGAGGTGTAGCCGGGAAGACATATGTACCTAGAGTTCTGCTGTAGCCCCTCCGAGAAAACCTTATGATATTGACAATTAAAATTACTCATAATGATCCATTATCGCTGCTTTAAGCCGCGGAACATTCCATTGCACTCTTTTCGCCCCGCCGGTGGAGCGGTGTCGGACAGCGCGGCGCACGGGGATCTCGTCATCCCGCCAATCGAGAGCAGACTCGCTGAAAGCGAATTGATGAATTCCATTCTACAGAAACTTACAGCGTTTCTTTCCGTGAGTGTTTCAATCGGCACAAACCGACGGACTTTTCGCCATCGGCTCAAAATGAGACCGCTGCGCCGTTAGTCGAGGTCGCGCGTCCCGGTCGAGTTCCCAATCCGCAGAGGGCAGGAGCGTCTGCCGTGCGAGCGACATCTGTTTCGGCACAGCAAGCTCACGCTCGATTGAAAAACCTGCTTAAAAAGTCGGATCTGCCTGATCTCAATGTGTCTTGCTTAATCCCTTTGACAGGACAGTCACCTAAAAATAAGACCGAGCGACGATGTCGTTGCGAACGCGATTATCATTTCAGAGCACGCTCGGTCTGAAGTTATAAATATACGGAGCTATCGGCTTGGCACGCAGAGCGACTCTTTCATACCTGATGCACGCAAAGAGATCTAGGATCGAACTCGGAAGGAGCACATTCCTGCGCCTGTCTCGACCGCGGTCGAAAATTAAGAGAAGCGAGTCATGTCATGATATTACGAGCAGGTCGTTCATCCCCCGAGCCAGTCGGTCATCGATATTGGCGATTGATGGAAGATCCGTCTGAATATTTCCGATCTGACTGGCTTCGTGAACGCAATACCGAATTCCCGGAAAACCCTTCGTCTTCAACGAACCTGAGAATGACTTCCGCTTGAATCGGTACGCGGTTCGCTATTTTCCATTCCCAACATTCAGATATCTGAGGTGGACTCAGCGAGGATCCGACAGGAGTCCCGGAAGCCCTTGACGCCGTAACTCGACGATTCTGTCTCTGCCAAAGCTCCTCGTATGCCGCGTCGGAGGGGGCTCCTCCACGGATACGATCCAGGATTCCCGCGAGCAGGGAACCGAGTCGGTCGCGAATTCCCTCAGAGCGAAGCTGCGCATTAGTTTCCTGGTTTAGCCTGTCAATGCGATGACCCCACAAGTTGATTGAATTCTCCATTTCGACCCGACGTCGGCGATTGCGCTTGCCCTCGGAAACCCTCGGATAGGATATCCGAATACATCACAGGAGACTGAAAGTATTCAATCAAAGGCACAGGAGGAAGCGAGGGGAGCTAGAGCCAACGACAGGGATCTGAGCATTTTCTGGAACGCGTTCTCTCAAGCGGAAACCATTGTTGTGAATGATACCCTTACCTAACAAGCGTTCTAAATGATCCGTGAACTTTATTAAAGGCAGCTTGCTGGGCCGACCTGCCTGTGCCCATTCGATCGACGCGGAGCTAGCAATGGCATATCGAGCTCAAGAGCTCAAACTCAATTCTCGAGTGAGTGATCTGGCCAGAACCTCTCGAGCGATAATATTTAAATATTCGTTCCGTCACGGCAGGCGATGGGGATCTTCGGAATCGATCATATCCCGGAATGCTTTTTTCCTCGGAGTTCTGCGAGAAGCAGAGGGAATTCTCAGATTTAGCAACCCTATATCCGACATCCGCGAGCTTTTCGCGGCTCGATAGCGAGAGGAGCGTGGTCTCTGGGATGAGACTCTCCTTTCTCCGCAGTTCAACTCCTTCGCTTTGAGGAGCACGTATTAATTGAATTCTGGCTGACAGTTGCATATTCATGGGGGAAGATTCAATCAGGAGGCATTCTCTTCATCACCGATCCTTCGAGCGCGTGTCACGCGTGCTTCCTCGAGAGAGCGAATAAGTTACGCTGGTGAGCGAGATCGAAGGCGGCCCAGATGGCCGCGTGTGCACATCAGAAGTAATTAACGATACGATCCAAAAGCAGGGAAAGTTCATGTGATCCGGGATCGACTCGGAATCAATTCTGCACTTTTGAATACTCCGAGCGATATTCGGGAAGGTAATTAGTATCCTAGAGCCTAAAGCAAGCGGGTTGGGCAGAATCGAGATGACATTTCGTAGTCACGGAAGCTCCTTCTGGCGTCTCTGGATTACTGTCATGCGGAACTAAGAACTCCGCGGAGCGTATCTCCTTGATTAACTCTCAGAATTCTTTCATCGAGACGAAGATTGAAATTCGAGCCGAGGATTTCTCCGTACCAGCATTGGCCGGCACATATTTATGTAGGTACATAAGACGGGCGAAAGTTCACCTAGCTTGGCCATGCCTCGCCAGAACTTTCATTCGAGCGTTTCGTAAGATTGAGATCCTTTCATACAATATTGATGGCCCTTGAGTTCGGAATACGGAGTTTTCACCACGAATTTCCCGTCCACGATGCCTGCCCGGAGGAGAAGTTTGGCCGATGCGGCCCGCTGTGATCGATGATAAGAGCCCGGCGGCGCCGATTCTACGCTTGAACCGACGAGGAAAATCCAGAGAAGCTCCGGGTGGAATGAGAGTGGAAGCATGGACGCAACGCTCGGAGCGACAGAGAAGTCCTCAACGTCACAGATACCCTCAAGCCGCGGAAAAATTGATTATCGAATTGGTCGATTAGCATTCAGTCCTGACGGTCCGAGAGCACGGTCTTGCCTTGACGAGCGAAAGGCATCTAGCATCTAGTTCCGGAAATAAAGAGGAAGGGGATGAATCCTTTAGCTCTTTATTCAACAGGATACAGATGGATACAGTAAGCTTCGATACTCAAAAGACATGGCCAAGACCGTCGAGGACTCGTGGCGGAGCAGGCTTAAGCCACACCGGATCCCGCGGCAATGTAGCTGCGAATCGGGGGACTCGATTACAAGCAAACCCTGCGGTGCAACATCGTACTCACGATGACAACAGATGCGAGTGTCCTCTGATGGCACGCTCCGGGCTCTCGTCAGCGGATCCACTCAATTACCAGGGAACTAAGAGCCTGTCGTTCCAGCGAAATACTTGAGCAGCCTCCCGGCCGATGAATGCACAACGAGCAACGAAGCGGCGGCAGAAAGAAAATACCGATCAATCATGAATGCTATCCTAAGAACGCGGATGTCCATGAGGCGTCGTCCTCGAGTTCCAGGAGGAGCATCTGCGTGAGGATGGAAGTGCTGCATCTTTAAGCTCATCATCAATCTTTGGTCGAGCTCGGGGCATTTATTTCCGGAGAATTCACCTCATATTGAGACAGCATCCCCTCAGGTGCATTTGCAAGCTTCTTTCTTCGGAGAACGGGCGAAATATCGCTACGTATCTCTCCTTGCGGGATATGTATTTCTATTCTCGGCCGCTCTCGGATCACGGTATGTTCTCTACCGCCAGTATCTCGAATGATTCTCAAACCGCGCCACTCTCCCAGCCAATCAGGAACATCGGTAACACAACTTCCACGAACAAGAGCTTTGTTCGTGGAAGTTCATTAAGTGGAGTGAAATTCACGTCGGGCATGACGATCGACGCAGGAAAGCAATGCGCCATTCGATTCGTGTTCTTGGCTGAAGGTGCTGTGTGAATGATTCCGACTTTCCCGATTCCACTCGGCCGGGCGTGATCGCAATCACAACAGAAGTTTGGCTTGGGAGCTCCTCAACGAGGAACTCTCAACGGGCATTAACAACAAAGTTTTCGATCGATCGCCATTCGCGCATGCGATCGGTTTTCTCTAGGAGAATTCACACCGAACATCAGTTCCAAAAAAAGACATTCTGGAAATTAAATCGAGAGCCGAGTCCCGTTCACCCTCACAGTGGGCAGAGTCTTGAAAGCCGGATAGGAACCCGCTAGTAAGCTGGAGCCGCATAGAATTCCCAGCGAGAATCCGTCGTATCTGTCGATTTTCTTCGATTCCTCGACAACCGATTGACTCGAGATTTTCGCGACACAATTGCCCACGTTGAGGTTCATGCCTTTCCGCTCGACGGGTTGATGCTTGTAAATGGTTTTCCGTGGCGGATCAGCGACGTACGCGTAGAAGTACGGAACGTCCAGAGATACAACGTGATCCGAGGCGTCGGTCCTACGAGCCTGCATGAGCTCGTACACTACCCGGCACACGCCGCTGGACAGTGTGCAAACAAGTTTATCTGTTTGCGAGAGCAGGAACAAATCCAAGATCAGACCCTGAAACGACTCGGCCGAGTCTCGCTTGTCGACATCGTTCGCCAACTCGGCTGATTTCGTGTTCGAGATAAAAACGAATTCGGGGAAATTTTCCCGTAACTCGTCGAGGACCCGAGGCTCGTCCGTGGCGACGAAGACCCGTTTCGGGATATCGGCTCCCAACTCGGCGTAGAACTCCTCGGCATGCTCCATGTAGTCCTCGACTTCGCGGTAAGCCGCTTCGAAAAGTTTATCGGTTCGTCGAATGTGCAATCCGACGATTGGCGACTTGAAGCCCAAGCTCTGCTTGGCCTGCTTGAGAAGTTCCTCTGTGAGTTCCGAAGGTCGCATAATGTGTCCCATGAACTGACCGAACCACCACGCGTAGGGGTCCTGGTGATGTCGCAGCAGCGGTTCGGCGATGTCTGCCGGTAGGCTGTGAATTGATTTCCGAACGCCATCTTCATTCGGTCCGGGCAAACCGGAACTCGGGAGATTGTGACACGTGGAATTGGCGGCGTCGTCAACGTCTCTGAACACGTCGCTCCAGGTAAAGTTGTCGTTTAGATAATGCCAGCTGGACGCGTTCAAAACCAGACGTTTATCCGCCTGGAAAGCTCTTATCACGCACCACAGAACGTCGTGCACACCGGCCGCGAAACCATCCTTGTTCGTCAGTTCGCACTTGATCGCTCGGGAGCAAGGATACTTTTGTCTTCGCTCGATGGCCTCCTGAACTCTGAGTTTGAGTTTGTAAATTGCCGCTCGAGACTTCTGCGCCAGGTTCGTTCGGTAGAGGAAATCCTTCATTTCCTTTCGGAGAATTCGGCTGAACTCCCGGGAGTAGCTCGAGACCAGAACCAACTTCTTCTCGATTAATTGCCGTTCTCGGATTTCGGGGAATCGCTTTACGAGATTGCCGAGGCGAACGAAATTGCTGCTCAGGAAGCGCTGGTGGTCTTTGATGGTCTGGTCTATATGATTTGCGAGGGGCTCGAGATTGGCGAATTGGAATCTCCCGCTCGGTTCGAAATAGCCCGACGACATGAGAGAGTCTTCGAAAGCTTCCGCCGGCTTCACCATGGTCTCGAGGGTTTTCCACACGGGGGGCTTAGGGGGTCGTTTGCCGAATCCGTAAATGTCCAGTCGACCGATGGGGCTCTCGGTGGGCATGGGGGACGTCTCGATGTCTCTCGAAGCGACGTACTGATCGAACTCCTGATCGAGCTGCGATTCACTGCGGTCGTCCCTTCCTCCATCACTCCCACCGATGCCGAGGCTGTCGAGAGTATGCTTCGTGTACACCCAGTAGAGAATCGAGAGGAACGCGATGATCACAACGTAGGCTATCTTCTGCAAGTTGAATTTTCGCCGGTATTTGGCCACAACCATCGCACGAGCGCTCGACGTCGAAATTGACACTTGGTGGTCGCAGCAAAACGCCGGAAACGAAGGGCGAACACGCCGATTCTGGCGAAAGTGACATCCGGTCGCTTGTCTGGCTTTCGCCGGTGTCCGGCCCAGTCCAACAGTCAGTCGGTAAGTCGCTCAATCGGTCTAGCCCTGGGCCCCCGAGCTGACCGACCAAGCGACCCGCTGTCCGTCCGTCCGTCTGCCCGCCCGTTCATGCCCTCGCTGAGCCGCGGCCCAACACGCGCAAGAGTGATTCGAAGCGCTTCGAACATAATGGAATAATTAAATTCCGTTCTGCGTTTGTTCGCTCGAGAAGCCGCGGACAAACTCTACAACAATAATAATTTGACCGGAGGCGCTTTCGAACGGCTTTGCTAGCTGTGGATTTTTCCGCCGGCGACAGATTGACAATTATCATAGAGCGCTACGAGTGCTGTGCTCCTACGCGACTGAAATGTTCACGTGACGCCTTGATAGGCCGGACTTTCCTTGCGATTTGGCGAGGAACGCTCCCCGGTCGCGGTCTACGCAGAGATACGCAGGTCAGACCGAACCAGGAGTCGATTATTATTTTCATGCAACACGCGATCCGAGTCCTCATCGGCTAGTTCCGAATCAACAAGCACAATGCCTCTCCCTGGAATACCCATCTGGAGCGGAAGGCGCTCGTCCACACTCGAGAGAGCCGGTAAACGAATCTCCCTGCTAGCATGAGAAAACGCATGAAGAGGAGCTAGCCGGCGCGGAGAGATTGCATCTGTCAGAATCAGAGTCCAGAGGCAGAACAGGGAGCAGAAGGCGATTCGCTTCGAAATTTCAGCCCCCTGTTTCGACGGTTCACTGGTGAAATCAGCGAGCCCTCTGCTGCACGTCGTCATCGAGCCGTCCTAGATTGAATTCGATTTGAACTCGCTCCTCGGTTGGTGCTCCGAGGAAAGTGCCCGAAATGAGGACTGGATAGTTGTCGGAAAAAATCGACGTTGGATGCCCAGCATGCATGCCGAAGGGTTGGCCATAAGCGCTTCGTATTATGTAAAACCGCGAATATTTTGATATAGAAGGGCACCTATAATGTCGACTTCGAAGCCCTCTATTATCGCGTTCTCATGAGCTGGCAGGCTTCTTCGAACTCCAAGTATGGAGCTTCACGTTGGGACTCGATTGATTTGAATAGCTTGGTAATTTGATAATTATATGTAATGCCGCTAATGCGATAATGAGGAAAGTTTTATACTTCTGCGATCTCAGCTTCTTCCTGAGAGCGAGCAGTCGCGAATACTGGTGAACTTCGGAGTCATGAGCAATGAGTCGGCAGTTTTTCTCCAGGCCATAGAGGTCAGACCTCTCTCTCTCCAGGATGCGGACCACTCTTCGAAACTTCAAAAAGCTGTTGTGGTTCCGTCCGAAGCTGGACTTCGGCTGTTCCACGCAGTAAACATGGAAATCTGTGGATCAGGACTGGAAGGATTTCTCGGGTTGCGATAAAAGCAGGGATCGATTTCACAGCGCGTGAAGCAGTTTCGGATGCATTCGGTCGATGGGCACCGAACCAGATCGCTCCATCGAGTCTCTCACCATTATTTCAATCTGGTGCGATTCTCGCGCGTCCGCCGATTGATTCATCCTTCCCAGAGAATGTGATCTTGCTCCTAAGGGCGCTCAGCATGCTCCCAGCCTTGACACTCCAAGTTCCCGGCCAACTTTCACTTCTTTCTTCGTCGGAAATCGACGCATGAGGAGCGTTCCATCAGCGAGGAGTTCGAACTTTCGGAAGGCCTTGAAGTCTCGTTTTTCGCGAACATCTCGCTTGACCAACTTCTAGAGATGCGTTCTCTTTCCTCGCCAGGCATTGTCCGTGGATGGAATCGATTTGATCCCCGGCTCGAATCCTTCGAGATGAACAAGGAAAAATCATGAATCATGTATGGAATTCGGATGCCTCCAAACCAAATAGATACCGATCTAGACTCTTGAGGGTTCGAGGCTCCAGTCCTATCTCGTCGTGTGTACCCGCTGCGAGGGAAAGTGTCGTTAGAGCTAAAATTATCGCCCTCGCTGCGGAAAAAGCCCAGAAAAACTTGAGCGCAGAGTTTGCCCGCTCGGTTGGTGTCGAACGTCGCAAGAAGTCAGCTTGGCACCATGGGAGAAGGTTTCAAAAGCATTGTAGGCAGATTGCGGTGAGTTTCTGTCGTCTCCCGCGGGAGATCGAGCGTAGAATCGTTCCTCGGCAGGGACTCACCAAGGTAGCTGGTTCGGTATCCGAGCTCCTCCTCAAGCCGAGCTTTCCCATCCATGTATGACTTTCTTCGGCTCCAAGGCTCGACCCCATGCTACATTCGGTCCTCAGTGCGTGTACTTCACTCTTAGTCGGAAAAGCTCTGCATGGACCGGCAGCTTCGCGTTTCCGTCTGTGATCTGAGGGAGATGACATTTACTCTTTCCGGATCAATGGAATGCTTATGGCGTGTATCAGCAGAAATAAAAGATTCTCGTCCTCCCTCAAAATCACTGATACGTTCATCGTCTCGAATAGTGAGCCGGAAGCTTCGGGGACCGGAGGACACTCTCATGATTGAAATCTCTTCCTTCGCAGGGTAGCGGACTTGCTCGATTTCGTTATGGTTTTCGAAGCAACTTCAATATCGGTGAGTATTCTCCGCAGACGGATCCTACGCCCAAGTCAGACTGTTGATCGACGCGAATATCAATGCATAGTTCGAATCATACATCGGTAGTCGTCGGATGCTCCCAGACGAAAGCTGAGGGCCCGGAGTCTCAGAAACTTCGGAAGCGCTAAGCATTGTACTCTGAGGGATTGCTCATCCCATCTCGATGGCGAATGGCGAAAGTCCGGCGAGGATAATTCAGCGCGGCAAAAAACCCTCGAGTGGCTGGAGGGGAAGCATGTGGGGCGCATTACTAGAGAATGTTGCCGGGCCGACATCACGCGCGCCCTTGAAACTTAGTCTTTCGCTCCGGGATCGGCCGGAAGTCCTTTTCTTCTCGGAGCTAAACTTGTTACCAAAAGTGCTGTTTCCCTGTGCAGCGAACCGCTCCTGGACACGGTTGAGCAGTACAGGGCATGCGGACGGAAACAACGCTTGATGCTCCAGCGTTGTCCGCCGTCAATGAGAGCATAAACTCTGCTGGAGGTACGCGATGCTCCTTTTCATTGTGAAAGTAGCAGCCAGCGAGTTCCCCGATAATAATTGCACGAAAAATCCTGATGGAGCTGAGGCACCCGGCTAGCCGGATTCGCGAAAATACAGAGGATTCTCATCGGGAAATAACATACTCATTTCCAGCGAAAGAAGAATAATCCGCCGAGAGAACCATCTCTCCACCTAGGAAATCTTTTCATATCCGATATTAGAAGCTCCGGGGCCGTAAAAAGTCAGATTTGTAATGGATGCAGAAGTGAACTGTGTGTAATCGGTGTGTTTGTTCCATGCTCCCGCCGTGCAGGAGATTCTCAGGGAAAACGGCCTCGGTAGGAGCCTTCGCCTGCGGTATCATCCTCTTGGTAAAATACGACTCCCCGTGTATACAGCACGTACCATGTCGATCATAAACTCCGGTCCAACACAAAGCAGAGTTCTTACACAGCATAAATTCATAGCTTACGCTCGCTGTAGTTTCTTCTTGCGTGTAGCTAAATAGTGCGCGCCATGGATCGCTCCGTCCTACGTGCGAGATACGCACATGAATGGAAGCAAGAAATCGGTGGGAGCGCGGAGCCTAGAGCGAACAAGCGTGCTTCCCTGCTGTGGTAGCCTGCGGGAGAATGAATGGAAACACGACACTGAATCGCTTTCCTAACTCCCGTTGATCTCACTCTCTTTAAGACTCTCCTCGAGTGAGCTTTCCAAGTAAAAATCCAGCGCTCAAATCGATCGCCCTCATCGTGTCATCGATGCTGAGAGACATATTCCTTCCCTTTCGTGCGAATTTCTCATCGTGGTCTACGTCAACATCGGTCTCTGGGCCGTATCCGATACGGGTCGACGTCTTATCTATGCCATCAATCGCTTCGTCTGCGTGCCACAGATTCGCTTTCGTCTTTATCTTTTTGAGCCGAATTAGCGTGGACGAAGGAACTTTGCTTGTATTCGGACCACAACTATCCCTCTCTGCTCGGCGCTTCCGCTGTTGATTTCCTCACGGGCGGGAATAAATAATGGACTCGGTCGAGTCCCCAGAGGAGCGTCATAAGAGCTTGATGGATTTGTTGAGGTTATCATCACATTTCGGTGGAGTACGATAACGCTCACCAGGATCGGCTGCAACCGCGAAACGGGCAAGGTTCTTGCTGTACGACGCTTCTGTCTAGGAAAGAATGTCTCTTACTGAGCGAAAGAAGATCTCTGGAAGCAGCCTCGACCCTTATGTGTTCCATGAGCTTATCCGAGAAATCATTCTGAATTAAAGTCATCGGTGTCGATCCTCGAAAATGGGGGTTGTTGCTCGGTGCCGGTGTGCTACGGATGCTCCAACGGACCGCCATGCGCCGATCACAGTATTCTCTTCCGCGTGGTCTCTTCCGTGACAGTTCTCTCACCCACAAGTTTCGCAGCGCCAACGTCGCTCTGAATTTCGCGAAACGGTTGATCGTAGGCGGTCGTTCATAATGTCTCCGGAAAGAAAAGATGTAAACTTTGCCCTCGTGTTTTTGCTAGACATCGGAAGGAGATCTTTTTTTCTGGAAGATTCACCGAGACAGTGTGGGGAATTTCGGCAGACAGTGCAAGAAGTCCGATTCATTTCTTCTCGTCCTGAATTCGAACGACATCCAGTGCTTCTCCCTATCGAGCTCCTCGTGTGGGCACGGAATACGTTTCTTGTGGGGAAGGAGCAGAAGATGAGCCGAAAGTCGATCTTTTGCGAACGGATTGGAAGCTTCCTGCATTCATCGATTGATCCTTAGGTTTCCATTGCTTCGAATCCTCCGAACATGAACCGATAATTGCACTCACAAGGTG